GCTTAATTTGTGTCATGACATTTTGTTGTTCAATATAAGGAAACAAATTAAATAAACAAATAAGGAACAAAAAGCGGTCCACATTTCAAAACCCAGGTAGCAACACTGTAGGTAGCAACTGTGCTATTGTTTTAGTATGACATCAGTGTCATGAACTATGACATTTTGTTTTTTGAGTACTCCCGTAGTATGTGTACCAGATAACAATAGGCCATAATTTTATTGCAATTCCTCCTCATTTTAGGTCTATTACAATTGGAGACTGTCTGTGTTAGCCAAGTGAATATATCCCTTACCCATAGATTTCTGTCCCTTTAGACAACTCAATGCACAACAGGCAACAAAATTAGTTACCTCTATATTGAAGTTACCTTTTCTGGAGCGCCATCTTTTGAATATATTTGAAGTAGATAAAATTGTTCGCTTATACCATTTTCCCCCTTTTGTTGATAGTTATTTTGTAAGGTAGATGCTTAGATCTCACATAAACTTCGACCTGTAGGTATTTACTATGGAGATCAACTCTCTCCATTGCTCATTGAACATACACCACCTATCCCATGGGATCCAGTGCTTGGTTTAGTTATAGGATAGAATTCCACACAATAATGAATATTTTGCAATTTTTTGCAGTGAAATAAAATTAAAAATAAAGCCTAAAATGGAATTTTATGGCAAAACTGTGGCTCAAAAAATTCGCAAACAAGTCATCAAAAAAACGGATGCTTTTGCTATTAATTTAAAAAATGTGCCAGAAGATTGGGACAACGAGGAGATTAAGAACACGTTAGAAAAATATTTGAATCCAAAAACCGATCCTATTAGATCAGCAGACCCTTCAAACGAAAATGAATCAGAATCATGTCTGCATCAAACCCAGTTTGTAGCATCAACTTATAAAGGATGGATCTACTTCATTATGCTTTTGACACCATGTACTGCTGGGACTGTGCTATTGTTCACTGGATATTGGTGGGGGATAATAGAAGTTTTGGCTTCTATTGTACTCTTGATGAAAGAGATAGTTAACCCCAGTACGACCAATGATATGAACGGTTACTCGCTTAAATTGAAAGTTTATTTTGCATTGATGCAAGTTCCACCACGTGATAACAATTGCTCAAACATTAAATTTATTATAATTCAGCATCAAATTAATAAAGACCAGAAAGTGGAAGAATTTTTCAACCGAATTATTTTGAATAAATTTCAAAGCTCTATAGAAATCGGCAATGTTGAAAAACTTGTCAAATGGAGCAAAATTTCCCAGAGAAGTGAGGCAACATATGACGACTACTCTTACATGATGCATTCTCGAAAGGTCATTTATGAACAAGTTCCGATTTGGGTCATTGTTTTGTTCATAATACTGGGCATTATCGCAAGTCTTGTGGGTGCCTTTTATTATCGGAGCATTATAATGGCAGCTATTTCAACATCTTCAATAACAGCTTTTCTAGCATACATTTATAGATTCTTGACAATTAAGGATAAAAATATCAGCATCAAAGATAAAGCAGAGTGTTTGGAAAATATTCGCCTTTTTCATCGTTTCATTAAAAATGAAAATGTTTACTTTGTAATATTGCTCGATCAAGCCTCTGCTTCCTGGGACCAATGCTGCATCTTTTTAAAACATCTGAAAGACTTGGAACTAAATAATTTAGTGTTGGTTGTCAACGAGGCACCAGCAACATTTCCTTATGAACTTCAAAGTTTGGATCCTGAATTAACTTATCGAAAAGATAATTATTCGGTTCTTACCGGAATTGCAAAACCGGATGAGAACACTCCTGGAGAGAATAATACGGTTGTTAGCGAAACTGGAAAACTGGGAATGAACCCTGATTTAGAACATCTGCAAGACATGGAACTAAATAATTTAGTGTTGGTTGTCAACGAGGCACCAGAAACAATTCCTTATAAACCTCAAAATTTGGATCTTGAATTAACTTATCAAAAAGATAAATCTAAACTGGGAATGAACCCTGATTTAGAACATCTGCATGACATGGAACTAAATAATTTAGTGTTGGTTGTCAACGAGGCACCAGAAACAATTCCTTATAAACCTCAAAATTTGGATCCTGAATTAACTTATCGAATAGATAAAACTAAACTGGGAATGAACCCTGAACTAAATATTCAAGTGCATGGTATTGAAACACAAATGACTATTCTCACGCCTGTACATTCCCATTCTATATTAGGACATAGTATAAACATACCTAAATTTCCTGAGACACCTGAGGGAAGTGGAATTGGAAATTATCAGATTACTCCTCAGTTTAAAAACAAAATATCAAACGAACAACCACCGAAGTCGTCTCATTTCGAAGTTCCCTAAAAATAGTTCTTTTTCCTTTGGAGATCTTTAATGTCAGAAAGTAAGTTTTGGCTGTGAGTAAAATAATTTCAGGGTCGTGTATTGTAAAAGAATAATTTTATTCGTGAAAAGGGTCATGCTTATTGAGAGTAGTAATATTTCATTATATGGCATTGAAAATGCAACATACATTTTAACATAAAATTATTTAACGTTGTGAACTAAGAGATTCTCTGCTTGATAAATGTTATCTTCATATTTTCCCTACATAGTCATTGATAGTGTAATTGTGCTTAGTGGTCTGATCTATTAGTCAATACATTCGTTAGCAGTCTTGGATTAGCCGGTAAATAAACTTGGGATTGGACCTACGGAATCTCTCTTCGGACTCGGAATAAAATTAATTATTACCATAGTAAAATAAAGTCGAAGATTTTGAACATAATGAAATAAAGAGTTCAAACGCAATAGTAAGTGTCATAATCTATTCCTGAATAAGTCAAAGCCCTCTGAATTTTATATTTCAGTAATTACAGCCCGTAAAGCAAGGCAGATATATTATCTCCAAAAATGGGAAGTCGATAACACGGCAAATATATTTTGACCTATGTATTTTACATCTCCCAATGTTTGGTAGGCTGTATTGTTATCCACTAATCCCACGGGTTGCTCAACGGATAGGTTAAATGCTGTTTGTTTTTTGTCTGGAATTGTTTTGTTTTTTCATCATAAAAGCACAAGTGCTTATTTTAAAGGATTTGATTAGGTTTAAGAGTTTTCAATATACCCCAATTATAATCTAGATGAAATCATTTTTTCTCACATCTTCTGATTACTGTTTTATGATCCCTTTTACTAGCTTTTCAGCACTTGTATAACCATATATGGCTTTATTTTAATCAAGCGGTATTTGCTTAAACTTTCCGTGTTTTTACGAGCCATGTCTATACCTATGCTTTGTAGAATATTGTATATACTATAGTTTCATCATATGCTATGCTTTAATAAAAAATCAGCAAGATGCAATTACATCATGTTTTGTATCAGGGATTTAAGGACATTATGGAAAAGAAAATTTGTCAACACTTGTCAATAAAACTACAACTTATTTTTTGCAATATTTTCTAACAATTTTCACAACGATGAATGCACAACAAACCTACTATCCACAGTAGTAAAGTATACCGAAAAATAGAACAACAACAAAAATATAAAATAAACTCTAGAAAGAATCAAAATTATAAAACCCAGATTTGAATTCACCGGGAAGAATGCAATCAATAAAACCCAAGTTATAAATAATTCCTAAAAGGAAAACCCCGCTGGTAGAAATTAAAAGTTCGACACCTTGCAGTTGCTACAATTGCTTACGTCGAAGTTTGAAGTATCCGAACATGACCCTACAAGATATTTTTAATTTTTCAAACCCGGGTTAGTATGAGTTCTCACCCGTTTACTTTCACATGTCCAAAATTTTGGTCCCGTAGTATGTGAATCAAGATGACGGACACCGGAACGTAGTATATGTACCAGGTTAGGGTTAGGCCAGAATTTCAGGTACAAATACTACGGGAGTCACTTGGCTAGTCCTTGAACTCGTAATAGAACCAAAATAGGGAAAATGGAAATAAAATTATGACTTAACCCTAACTTGGTACACATACTACGTTCCCGTGTCCGCCAACTTGGTTCACATACTACAAGAGTACCGAAATTTTTCCTGATTCTATTGACAAAAAAGCCTTCAGGTCTCTCATCCAATTGTATTTACAGACGGGTAATTTTAGGTCATACTCCTTCATTGACCAAGTAGCTTTTGGCACTTAAATGGTTGCCCGAAACTAAACTGCTCAATCCGGATTTTGACCAAATTACTTCAGAAAAAGGGGGGCATATAGATCGTCTGAAAATGTAAAACGAATACTAAAAAATGGTATTTAAAAATTATAAACAAACGGTTGACTAAAAACAAGAATAAACATTAAGGAAAAATTACACATAAGTAACAAATATAAAAACACAAAACTACAGCGAAATCATACAAAAACCTGCACTTAATATTTTTATCAAAAAGCAAAAAATCGACAATTGGCAATCGAAATTTGATTCTGTCTGAAATGAAATTTGTTGTGCCAGATTATGATATTGAATATTGTAATAGACTCGAACAATATACGGTATAATACCTCATGAAAAACTAACCACTGGAAAAAAGAGAACTGACTTTATGTCATATGAGAACTACAAGAAAATAAAGTGCGAATTTGATCATACAAAAGTGAGGCAGATAAAAAGCTTTGCTTTATATGTTAAAATGGACACGTGTGGGATTCTCAAATTACCTTCTTTGAAAAAATGAAATTGCCAAAGATCACGGTATAAAACAAAAGTTGTAACAAACAACAACAATACAAGAACAACAACTATATTACAACATCACATCCATGTATGCCGACTTTACCGTAAGGCATTTCAGTGTATTCATCCGCATAGTATTCTTCCTCAAGCAAAGATTCATTGTCAATACTACTCAACCCAGAATCATAACGCATTGGTTCGCTTCTTTCTTGTCCTCATCTAAAACATCTTCAATCTGAAGATCGTTGTGGTCATCCTTCTCGTTTACATGGCCAGGAGAAGAGTCTATGACACTTTGGCCAAGTGATGTTTTCATTGTACTGTTTGTATTATCTTCTTTGTTCCGCTCTCCACTTTCAGCACTGAACGCCAGTGTTGGAGATTCAGGTAAAAGATACGTTCATTTCGTTTGATTTCTTTGGTATCTGTTCAACATATTCCGATTCCATTGCTTCGTTTTCATTTGCTTCCAGATTGAGTTCGTGTTGCAAACTTGGATCCAATGGAATCTAAAAAATAAAAAAATAATAAAGCTGACGAATAAAGAATAATAATGTTAATTTAAAAGTAAAGAGACATTTAATAAGAGACCATGCGAAACAGGAACTAAAGGGAATAAAAAAAGACTAAATAAAAATTTATACAAAAAGGTAACAAATAAGAAATATGACAAAACATTGAAACAGATTTATGGAGCATTTTCGGAAGGCAGAAAATATCAAGAGATCGCAGAGTAATCAAAAGTAATTCAAGTAGACCCGATCATCTTTAACTTAAAAAGAATAATCTATTGGGTTTTAAAAAAAACTTTTTTTTCGACGAACAACAACAAATTTTTTTTTTTTTTTTCAAATGATCTATAAGTTTATTTTTTGCTAGATAACCACTGAACATTTTAAAACGATTGGTTCAGCAGTTTTGAATTGTGATGACGTCATCACACAAAACTTCAAAGTGAAAAACGATCTTCACTGAGCCTACAGAAATTTCTTAAATACATAGAGGTAATGGACTATCAAAAAATATAATCTTCGACCACCCAAAATTTTAAAGCAATTTGTCCGGTAGTTAATGAGAAGAGCATAACAACAAAACAACGAGAATATCGGTCAGAGACCGAAACTTATTGATTGAAAGTTAGGGGATCCCCCAAAACATCGCTCTTACTCCATAGTGACACCTTGTGTCCCATCACTAATTAATTAATAACTCGCTAATCATACGACATAATTAATCCAAAATCAATAGGCTTCTGGTCCGACATATGATGAATGCACATGCGAAATCTGGAGCAGATTTGATCTCGCTTTCGTGAGATATCGCGTGCATCTAACAGACAGACAGACAGACAGACAGACAGACAGACAGACAGACAGACAGACAGACAGACAGACAGACAGACAGACAAATACTTATCAACATACTTACCGATTAAAATCGATAAGTAATAACAGTAATAACAACAGCAACAATTTGGAAAAACGATACATAGTTCTAATCAGTTATTGCTTACTTGCTGATGCCTTGTCATTGGACTGGGTGAAATTTTATTTGTTTTCGTAATATGAATCGTGTCATTCTTGACCGGCATTCTCAGGATTAGAGGAAGGAGATGAGTTTTCTTGAACACCGAACCTAGATATTATAAACACAGAATTGTATTGATATAAATTATATGGTTACAAAAGGATTTGAATGAAATACGTGGATAAAATTAAAATGTAATAAAATAGTTTTTAAACAAAAATAAAAATCTGACTGGACTGGTATTTATTTTTGAAAATCAACCTATGATAATATCACATGCTTTTTACTTTATAGGAAATAATTATATAATCTTTTGAATAACTTATATAAAATGAATAACTGTGTCGAGATTCAAAAAATTATTTGCTCTGCGTTGATTTTCAATCCACTCAAACATAAAAAAAATTGAACTGGGGAATATACTGTATAATAACAAATCAATCAAGTTATCAAATACATGATTCAGATTGGATGAACAATCTCTAAATTTTACATAATCCCACTATCATCAAACTAAAACACAAATAAATTGTCGAAAAAACTATTAATCTGAACCACAGCAATGTTTGTAAAAAACAACTCACCGATTTGTTTATTGTCCTCCGTATTAGGAGTTATTGAAATTGTATCAGAATTATCACTCGTCATCTCATCAGTGCCATTCATGTGTTCAACCTGATTTGATTCGGATATTTCAGTTATGATCTGATTCAGACCAATGGCATCGACCTTCAGTGAAGTAGTCTTTTGCTTTTCATTTTGCCCGAGACTTGTTTTCTCTCATCTAGTAAATTTATTGTTGATCTTTTTATTAGTATTCGGCGCAGTCAATGATTTGCTCGTCTTGGTTCGTTCTAATCGTGGAACTTTTGGCTCAGCAACACTTTCGTCCGTGTCAGGAATCGTTGAGAGGTTTCGAATCCTAATTACGTACAATAAAATAAGTTATTCAAAATCATCAGATATGTTTCTGTTGAAAGTAGTGCAGACAAATTAATTTCTCCAGAACTGCGGATTAGCCTGAATATCATAAAGATTCAAAAGCTTATGTTCAACCCAAGCAAATATTGAAAACTTTAAAAGTAGGACGAGTTGAAAAGGACCCAATAGAGGTCGATATATAGAGTGTCAATAACATCTAAAAATAATTAAAACTGCAAATGGGATTTATCGATACCATATATTGTTTTGGTCCACACAGATGTATTAAATGAGGTAAAAATATTTGAACAATTACTGATTTACTGATTCAAAAACAGAAACCTAGTCAAGATTTATTGAGAATTGACTTCATAACAAAATGAAATCGTAAAGGGACTTTATGAGTAGTATCAGTCAAATGTGTCGTTCACAAGCGAGTAAGAGTTACATTACTGGTATCAGTCATGCTGAGAATAGTTTATTCATTCCATCGGATTAATCATTCGCATTTTCGAATTTCAGAGTTACCTTTAGTTATACTTTAGTTAACTGAGTTATATCGAATACACATAGAAGCATTTCAATGCTGTTGGCTTTCAGCTCATAATGCTAAAGGGTAAATAGCTGGGAGAGCACTTAAATGGTTTAAAAAATAGGGCTCTAATGTGATTGGTGAGTAAGAGTTAATATCCTTTGCGTATTCGTCTTATCGTGGACTAAGTCAAAACAAAAGCAATAAGAAACTTTTGCGTCGTTTTCAAGCATGATATGTGCTTGTCCGATTTTTGGTGTTCCCGGTAGCACGTCATTTTTCTGTATCATATTTTCAATTCTCCGAGTTTGATGTCAAAAAGTATTTGTAAGCTAAGAAAAATACAAAGAATCTGTTATTACTTGAAAGAAACTAGTTTGAGCTAGAAATCGTTTTCTGCGCGTAAACATGCTATCATTCAAACAATGATTGCGCTTGCTTGAAACTGATAGCGATGTATCTTGAATATCTAGTGCTCCACTACGCTTCAAAAAGCTAGTCTGGGCTTGTTGGAAAGGTGTCGTAATTCTCCTTTTTGAGAATTCTCCTTTTTCATCTTGTCGATTTCGCTTGTATTTATCACAGCGATTTCAAGACAAAACTTTTTTTGAAAAAAAAATTAAAATTTCATTCGCATCTCGAGAAACAGCTGGTATAAAGCATGAATAAGCTTACCAACAAAATCTAAGTGAAGTTTCTCGCACGTTTTAACGAAAAGGTATGACATTTTTGTGCATCGGTTTACAATAGGCTCAGAGGGAGGGCGTTTGAATTGGACTAATCACTATTTTCTGCAGGCTTTGCTTCTGAAAACTATGAAAAACTGGAAATTCATTTAATGGTTGTGTTTCGTATTCATACGATTATATATCAGATAAAGTAATTCAAATTCATATTACGTTATGAAATAAATTGCCATTGTATTATGAAATACATAAAAACAATCTTCTAAAATTACCAACAACATTTTGTCATGCTTCAATTTTTAAATTTTCTACATGTTAGCATTCTGATAGTTAAAAATATTCTTCATTGTAGTTAGGAAAACGTGTTTGGTGTTCTGCTACATATTGGTTGAAATATAAAAAATACAATTATCTAAAAATATCTTATCTCTGAATTAAATAAGCAATGGAAAACAAATGAAAAGAATGTTTTGTTTTTATACCTAACAAGAGATATATGCTTAAATATATACAGAAAATTCAGAACGAAATGTTTTACCATCACTTTCCTTAAAACTAAACCTTATTTCGTGTCCCATGGAGAATACAAATGTATGCTGTCTCATCCCAGCCCATGAGACCATTCCAATTTCAACGGAAAAGCCTGGATATTCGGGAAATATATATTCATCCGTTTTCAAAATTCTACTATTTCGATAAATTAGATATAAACTATATTTTCTGGATTGGTTAACTTAGGTTGAGTTTCCACATAGTTCAGATGTGTAAGCTTTCAAGCATTTTTTATTCTGTATTTCTTTACCAAGAAAAGCACAAAAACAAAAAATAGTTTGCTCAAGTACCGTTAACTTAATCTTGGCTAGCGAAAATTCCGTTATCCAATAATTTGAACTTGCTGAATTTTCATGGTTTTGGTAGCAAATTATACAGCTGCGTGGCAATCTATTGGATTTCATTGCAGTTCATGTCACAGGGAAAGAACATCGACCAATTTTAGAGAAATAGAATTTCTGGAATATAAAAATTATATTAAATAACATTTGAATTTTGTATAGTCTTTGATTTATCAAGCTGTACTATTAATCACTTAGTGCAATCAATTGGCTAAATGTAGATCTTTTTTTTTGTGCCATTCTATCGTGTCGTTAAAAAAATATTTTAATTTTGACGTTTCACTTTGTTTGCTATTTTTATATAATACAAATTACTACAACTATTGATATACGACATACATTATAACTAACAATGATTGATGCAGCTTCATAAGCTATATTAAATGAGTAACAAATGTACAAGTGATTTTCTGCTGGAAATGCTTTTTTATATTTTATTTGCTTGCATAGCCAATGTAGTGTAATCATGCTTAGTAGCATGGTCTGGTCTGGTAGTCAATGCGTTGGTTAATATCTTGGTGTAACAAGTTAGAGTCCCCGGGTTTGAATAACATGGAAATTTGAATTAAAACTCAAAAGAAATGGTCAGAGTTATGATGCTGAAAGATTTTAGTATTTGTAGACATACCAGACCTTCTAAATAAGGCTAAATAAGACTCATAACCTTGCAAAGGAAACTTTTTAACAATAAAGTCTTCAGTTTGTTTAGGCTTTTTCTGTTGAATCTTTCTAAGTTTCCCAAGACTAATGTACATATCTTGTAGCTTGCTGTGTTAACCTACCATACCCCTAAATTAATATTTACAATGCAATGTCTTAAATTTAATTTAGCATTTTTCTGTTGAATTCAAATCTGATGTAAATATCTTGCAGTTTGTTGTGCATAGCATTTTACCATATTCATACACTAATTGCTATGCCTAGATAAAAATCAGCAGCTACTTTTACAACTTGTTTTTTATTTGCTCTATTAACATCTCAGGACACATACAACTACTAAGATCTTAGGTAAACTTAGGCTTATCGAAGAAGAAAAAAAACGGTAATAAAAAATACATCGAACTAAAGAAGGCAATCCCATTTTAGACCGCAAAATCGCCTTGAATGGGAGTATAATAAATATTTGGAACTCCAGAAGTATGCGCACCAAGATGGCGCACAACCTGACATAATATGTGTGTACCGATTAGAATTCAGTTTGTGCGACATCTTGGTGCGTATACTTGTGGACCACCAAATATTTACCTCCAGCTATTTTTTCATTCTCAATCCCATGGGTTACTTTGGGAACATTCTAGGGAACGAAACTTATTAATTAAACTACTACAAATTGTTAGTATTATTTTCTAACAGTATTGACAACAATGAATACACAACAAACCTACTATCCACAGTAGTAAAGTATACCGAAAAATAGAACAACAACAAAAATATAGAAAAAAAAATAAAAATGATAAAACTCATGATTCAAATTCTCCAGGAAGAATGCAATCAATATAGGACAGGCTACAAATGATAAACAAAAGTCAAATCTTATTTGTGGAATTTGAAAAATTGGTACCCTGTGTGTTCTTCTGACCTTTTCCAACTTGTCATTCCAAAGAAGTTTTTTGTTGTTAAATAGGGTTGGATTTTAGCTTTTATCCCTTTACTGGCAGTGTATCAACAAGACAAACAAATTGTGAACCCTTATTTTTTCGAAGAATTCCAGTAAAGTGGAATTGACCTCAAAGCTATTTTTCGATCATATTAGCATGAACTACTTCAAGCATTGCGTCAATCTGTATGTAGTAACGCGGAATTCTGCACCATAGTTTCCTATAGTCTTGGCAATTCGGTGTTCGCCTGTAACTTTGTTTAGAAATCAATCTTCTATACATTCGAATGAGTATTCGTAACTTGCTTTTTGAGCAAATTTCTTCAGAAACAAGTGGGAATGTGAGTTTCTACATGCAGATAATGTACAAACAATAAAGAAAAAAACAAGACAGAAAATTAGGAATAAAATCTTCAGATAGGTAACAAATATAAAAACGCAAAACAACAGCGAAACCTTTGAAAAATTCCATAATTATTTTTTCTCAAATATGCAAGTTTTAAAAAAAACATAGGAAATTGCTAAACAGTCGACAATTCCATTTAGTCTGAAATGAGATTTATTGGGCCTTTGGTTACTGCTTTTGATATAACTTGAGTGTAATAATAGTAATATGCTTATAGCAATTTTAATCTTTTCTTGCAAGACGAAGCACATAAGGACTAACATTTGTTATACTCAAACTATAAGAAAGTAAAGAGCGAATTTGATCATACATAAGGTAGACAGATGAAAAACTTTATATGTTAAGGTGGACTCGTAGTAAGGTCACAAATTTACACCTCTTAAAAACGAAATTGCCATTGATCGCGGTATAAAACAAAAGTTGTAACGAACATAACAATACAAGAACAACTATATTACAACATCACATCCATGTATGCCTACTTTGAATCTGCCGTAAGGCATTTCAATGTATTCATCCGCATAGTATTCTTCCTCCAGCAAAGATTCATTGTCAATACTATTCAACCCAGAATCATAACTCATTGGTATCTTGTACGCTTCTTTCTCATCTTCATCTAAAACATCTTCGATCTGGAGATCCGCTTGCGTTTTGTTCAAATCGACCTCGTTTACATGGCCAGGAGAAAATTTCGTATTGTCTCCTGCTTGTACTGATTCCGGACAACTGTCGTTTGTCTGTTTACTTTCTTCACTGAATGCCAATGTTGGAGATTTAGGTAAAGAGTCGTCCATTGCGTTTGATTCTTTTGGTATCTGATCAACATATTCCGAGTTCATTGCTTCGTTTTCATTTTCTTTCTGGTCACTCAAATGTTGCAGCATTGGATCCAATGCAAGCTACAGAATAAAAAAGTAATAAATCTGACGAATAAAGAGTAAGAATGTTAATTTGAAAGTAAAAAGACATATAATAGGAGACCATGCAAAACAAGAACAATATGGAGTAAAAAAAGACAAGAAAAAATATATATACAAAAAGGGTAACAAAAAAAGAAATATGACAAAAACAATGAAACAGATGTATGGCACATATTCCAAAAGCACAAAATATCAAGGGATCGCAGAGTAATTAGAAGTAATTCAAGAAGGCCCAATCATTTCTAGCTAAAAAAAAATTTGTCGACTAACAACAACAAAAAAACACTGAAAATTTTAAAACGATTGGACCGACAGTTTCGAATTTTGAAGACGTCATCACACAAAACTTCAAAGTAAAGAGTGAATCATACTGAGCCCGCAGAATAGCCGCACAGCCCACAGGTAATATAATAATAGACTTTAAGCGAAAAACACAATATTTAACCACTGAAAATTTCAAAACAATTGGTCCAATACTTCATGAAAAAAGTATCACAACAACACAACAACAATAAGAATACTAACAACAACAACAATTTGACAAAACGATTCATAGATCTAATAGTCAGTTAATGCTTACTTGCTGATGCCTTGTCATTGGACTTGGTGAAATCTTATTTGTTCTCGTAATATGAATCGTGTCGTTTTTGACTGGCATTCCCAGGATTGGAGGAAGGAGATGAGTTTTCTTGAACACCGAACCTGAATATTATATTATTACAAAATTACATGACCCTAATTGGTGAGTTTTTGTAAGAAATAAAATATGCTAATAACACATGGTTTTGATTTTATGTCTGATATAGCATGTGGCACGAATATACTACTAAACAGTTTGAATGAGTTGACAAATTCTTTCATGGTTTGAAAAATTACTGCTTTGCATGTTATTCAATCCACTCAGCCATAAAAACTTGAGCTATGAAAAGTACTGTGTTTTAACGAATCAATCAAGTTAATAACTACAAGCTTTGAAAGAATAATAATTGTAATCAGATTGAATAATCTGATCATCCTCATTCTCAAAAATCAATGAATAATCCTCTCAATCCATCTAAAACGCAGCAATATTTGTGAGTAATAACCCACCGACTTGTTTGCTGTCCTCTGTATCAGGAGTTATTGAATTTGTATCAGAATCATCACTCGTTATCTTATCTGTGCCATTATTGTCTTCAACCTGATCTGATTTGAATGTTTCAGTCGTGAATTGTTCCAAACCAATTGCATCGACCTTAGCCGAAGTAGTCTTCTGCTTTTCATTGTGCCCGAGACTTGTTTTCTCTCTTCTAGTAAATTTACTGCTGATCTTCTTATTTGTATTCGGCGCAGTCAATGATTTGCTTGTCCACTTTCGTTTTAGTCGTGGAATTTTTGACTCAGTAATGATTTCGTCTGCGTCAGGAATTGTTGAAAGTTTTCGTTTCGAGTCCTGATACCAAACACAAAAATAAGTAGTTTAAAATCATCAGATATATGTTTCTGTTGAATACAAAGTAATACAGTCTAAATTCATTTGTCCTCATCTGCGGATTGGTCTTAATAGATGTCATCAAATATTTGAAATTTCATGTTCAACCCAAGTCAGTATTAGAAGCTTTAAAAGTAGGACAATTTAAAAAAGGGCCCAATAGAGGTCGATATATAAAGTATCAACAACGTCTTAGAAATGTTTAAAATTGCAAGGGGAATTTATCGAAACCATATACTGTTTTGGTCCACACAGATGTATTAAATGAAGTAAAAGTACTTGAACAATTACTGATTGAAAAACAGAAACTTAATTGAGAACTGACTTCATAACAAAAATGAAATTGTAAAATATCTTTATGAGTAGTATCAGTCAAAGATAGCGTTTACAAGCTGCATTGCATGGCTAAAAGTTCAAAATACTACATAACTATTTACAATCTTGTACGGAACTATTTAACCAATTTATATTCAATAATCGAGAAAGCAATTTTCTACTTTGGATGCTAAACGGCCATATTCAATATCGTACCTTTGGTGATTCCTTTACAGCTTCCCCTCCAGTAGAATGTTCCGAGTTTGAACTGGGATGAGAAGAACTAGCGAAGTCAAAACTTATGCTGTCTCGGAACTTTCGTAGTCCAGAAGCCACGTTCAGACCGAACACACCAGAAAACCAGGGAGGGGATTTCCCCCCGTGAGATGATGACTTTAAATTGTGACGACGAGCAAAATCAGCTCTCACCTAATCAAAATTAGAAGCATTATTACATTATTAGAATTATTTGCACTGAGAATAAAATATTCCTCTCGTAGGATGAATCATTCATATTTTTGCATTTCTGAATTACGTTACTTCACTTTGTACTTTAGTTAATTAACTGAGGTATACCGAATATATGTAGACGTACTTCAATGTTATTGACTTTTAGCTCATAATGACATTATGGGTTTTTTATCTCTATTTTCCGCTCCCGAATTAAATAACCTATGCTTCGTACTACCCGAAAACAATACAAAACCGGACATTCATTAAATGATTTCCCATCGTATCCAAAATTATATATCAGATAGAGTAATTCGAAGGCAGATTACTTCAGAAAATAAATTGGCATTGGAATACGCAATACACCAAAACAATTTTTTAAAATTAAGAGCAACATGTTGTCATGTTCCAATTTTTAAATTTTATACATTTTAGCATTTTGATAGTAAAAATATTCTTCATTGTTGGACGAAAATGTTTGGAGTGTTGCTACATATTTGTTAGGGACAGGATAGGATAGGATTTACATATTTATCCCCGGGGAGACCGCTTAATCATATGGAAAACTACGATGGTGGAGGAATCCGTAACCCACCAGCGGTAACGTGAACCACCCTACGGCAGGGGTCACCAAACTTTTTTGACCGCGGGCCGGGTATGACTCAAACTGTGTTGAAACGGGCCGGACAAATATTTTTGTCAATGTAATACAATAAATTCACAAAAGTTGGGAAATTCATTCAATTTATTCAACAATATGTATTCTACATTTCTGAAGACTTGGAATATTAAATTCTATCTATATCGCAGAATATAGATCGAGAACATCCTAGGAGAACATATATACAAGATTTCTATATCTAGACAACTATCCTGAGTTTAGCTGTTATCAAAACGTTGCAGTCATGGATTAGGAATGTTACAAAATCCGCCTTTTCGCGCCAAAAAATGTACGCATCACGTACCATACGTACGTAAGTGCCGTTACGCCGTGTCGGAATACTGCTCATAAAAAACGACTGCGGACTGCCTGCTGTAGCATTGAATTCCAAGAAATATTGACATAATTAGATAAAATAAACAACTATTATCTGGTATTTGATTTTATAAATTCCCCAACATTCGGAGCTTTTAAAAATTACGCTCAAGTTATACGTAGTGCAAACTAATGATATTGTCCATGGGCACCAATAAAATTTATGTCGACGTGTGTATTTCTTTCCTAACTTGATACTTACCAATTTTTATGAAGTTTGTACTATCAGAACATTGTTAATTATTACCCCCAATGAATCACTGTCAAACTGTCATGCACAACTCCAGCGTTTATTTGCACGATCTTTCGGCGGTGTCAAGACCGTTGCCAGAATAAAATCCTGAAATAGTCTCAATATTCCATAGTGACGCAATCGAAAGGTTAGTGATTGATATATATGTACATTCATATTTATTACAGTTCTTATCAAAAAAGTAATAGAATCTTTATGGAAAAAATTGGCCTGTCGGGCGGTTCTAAAATTCCGATATCTCCGTAAACTTGGTATTGTTTTCCTTTTCACTCAGATCTATCCAATGACGCAGTTTTTATTTAAATCGGATGAACTTTAATTTTTTTGTAACATACCTACATGAATATCCGCATTTAGGCAGTACAAAAGTTAGTGTGACTTGTGAAATTGGAGCAGTACGCGAGGGATTACAGTTACTGTTAGCGCGACGTGCACATTCGGCATTAATTTCAGCACAAGAAACGTAAACAGTTTTGCCCCACGAGTGCATCTTTCACAGAAACGTTGCGTACCCGGTAGAGAATTTTAGCCTATTTTGTCACAGCTATTTCTACACTAATTTTTCATTACTACTATTAAAACTACAATCCCTAAGGAGGCAAATGATGATTGACTTATTTGATTCATACTTAAATTTCCCAAACCCAACCAAAAACTAACGAATAGCATTCAAAATCGCAAAAACGAATTATTGTTTACAACCACGACTGAAAATCTGTCAGGGTGACAAAAGTCTCCGAGCGGATGCGGAAAAGAACGACGATGCTCGGGAAAATTTCTCTTGGAAAAAAATTTCGCTATTTTTTACGTGTTATTGCGGGCCGGATAAAATGACGCAGCGGGCCGGATCCGGCCCGCGGGCCGTAGTTTGGTGACCCCTGCCCTACGGCGTCGGGGAGTCCAGCAATCCCCTCACACATAATTGAAATATAATGAAAACGAATTTAAAATATATTTACCTCTGAATTACATAAGCAGTGGAAAACAAATAAAAAGAATCCTTGGAGAGAGTTCGTCGTCGCAAAAAGGTACTGGAACAGTAAAGTATCATGGCTCAGAGACAAGAGGCCAAATAACCACGTCGTACCAAGAAGTGGAGACAGAAAGATACTCCCTTTTACCGCGTTTCTGGATGTAATGGGGAACAAGATTAACAATTTACAAAAGTATGTCGCAGAAAATTTATTTTTGTTCTATGATAGTAGTCAAATTAGCCTATTTATCAGATGACAAAAAGCCTCAAATTTTCCCGTTTGAGTCATTAATACAATAAATTTGAATATTGAAATTATCATAAATCTCAACATTCAAAAATATTTGTTTATTTAATCAATCAACGTTATTGGACACGAAATGGACATAACGATCGTTTCTATAATATGTTGTTGTTCTTGTTCTTGTTGAACCAATTGCTTTGAAATTTTCAGTGGGTAAAGGTAAAAATTTTCTTCAGAAGGCTATTATTTTTTTTGTGTGTGCTATGACGTCATCAAAATTATTGCCATTAGGTGGCGCTACGTGTCCATATATTTGAGCGTAGCTCTCCTGTTTAGATTTGAGATCATTTCACAAATTTTTGAAACTCAAGTTTCTAAACTAGGATTATTTAGGATTTAAAAATTCTCGTTTTTCAAGGGACTCACGAATTTGTAAAAAAACACTTGGTATTTAACTGGGTATCATAAAATTTGAATCTCAAAAATTTGAATTGTTTCACCATAAAAGAACATTATTATCTAGTACTGCTCGTGTAGCATCAAATGCATCTTGTTACTCACTTGACTTTGCTGATTCTGACATTATTAGTTTGGTCAGGTTGGATTCCCACAATGACTCGAACAACAGAGACCAGGATAACAAAATTGATAAAGATCACAAGTATTGCAGGCGCAGCAAATGCCCAAATAGAATTGTCAGATGGTGATAACCAGCAGCTGCAAGAAAGTATAAGTTTTTAAACAAATCTCGCGCATTTTAAAAGGGCAGACAACATGACAAAGTGATAGAAACCAATGTCCAAAAGAGATCGTACATTTTAGTTCTTACTTCTGAACTTAGGTGCAGTGCAGTCTGGCATATGGTGTGTTAGTAAATTTCTTTGATATACAGTCAATATCCAATCTTTCAAGGAATTTGATACTTACATTTTATTTGTTCCCAGCTGTACGTTCAAAATTCCCATGGAAATTCCCATGACAATAGCGGGGATTCCCCAACCAGCAAATACATAATACTTCACCCAACGTCGAGCGGAGACGAATACAACAACAACTTGGGAATAAAGAAACAAGCCTGAAAAAAAAATTAGTTTAAATAGGCTATAATGATTCTTCCAAATTAACCGATATCCTTCCCAAAACATTGTTTTTTAATTTAATTCATCTAAATACTCTCCTCTGTGACATATGGAAACACTTTACTGATGCCAGTCAATCCATCAAGTATTTACTAAACTAAGGGTGTTCTGCAAAGGCAATATTACGCGACCTTTATGTCTGTATTTTTGTGAAACGCTCCTTTGTTTATAAGACTTACTCATGTTCACATCTGATTACAACACGTAACGGAACTGGCTACAATCAGGTCCGGTTACCACTCCGTAACGTTCAAAACTATAAAAAATTTTGATATTATTAAATTGCTCAGTTTTATTTCTATCACAATTATCTAAAAATCATCCCAAAGTATATTTTAGCATTCTGTTAAACGTAAACCATTTCTCCTTAGCCATACTATTACCTTCAATCAGCATCCAAGACAAAACTGCCATATTGAAGTAATACAGCAACACTGTAACTAATATACAGCTGTATTGTTGCCCTTGTGCAAGTTCTTCAAACATAAACACTAGATCAGCTGCACCTACTGCAACCCCAAGATTAAAATGAATCTTCATGTTCTCTGTGTGAAATCTGAAACGATGTATATGATGTGATCATCAGTAATCAGTAATTCATTTTTCCATCATACTAAAGTACATATTGTGAACAAACTACACAAAAAGAGTGCTCCGGAGTATGTGTACCAAGATGGCGCACAACCTGAACATAATAAGTGTACCAGGTTAGTTTTCCGGTTGTGCGTCATCTTGGTACACATACTTCCGGTGAGCCCAAAAAAAAGTAAAATGGTACTTCAGGGTGAAGGAAGGCGCGAGACACCAAGACTGATTATCGAGCAGCGGCATACGTAAATGTAAAGATAACAAACATAAAGTTCAATAATTCGAAATGAACCCAAAGTAAAGTAATATAAATAGAACAAGAGAGCATTGCTCTAATATATAGGGACACGAAAGCCAAAACGAAACCGTAATAAATCTTTCACAGCGGTAGTCTGACCAACGGTTCTCTGAAATGCGGATTGGATCGCGGAACCGTCAGAGTGTGTGCAGTTTTTAATTTTGATGACGTCATCACACAAATTCCATAAAGCCCACAGAAATTTTGGAAATAAATAAAAATGTTAGCCTTATAATGTTGAGCCAAACCACTGAAAACTTCAACCAATTGGCCCAGTAGCTAAAGAAAAAAGTGTTTCTTCCAATAACAACAACAAAATGAAGAAGAATACTCAAAAACAGCAGTATAATAATAACAAAACGATACATAGGTCCAGGTCCATTTTGTGTCCAACTATTGAAATCTAAATCTATCTTATCAGATTCTCACCCTAGACACCGATTTTGAATGGCATCGTAAAATAAAGGATTTTTGAATCAGAGTTTCACAATACGTTCCTAACTCTGATTTTGAAGTTACATGTAAACATTTTAAAAAAGGAGAAGTTAACTATAAATTCAAATCCCAGGACAGCAAATTATGTTTTATAATATGTATAATTAGAGTGTTCGATATGTTTCATTTACAGAAAATGGGTTTCCTGGATCTAAAAAAGGATCTATGCTTTTCAATGAAGGTTCGCCGAAGACTTTTAAGCCGGATATTTAAAATATTGGTTTAGAATGATTATATAAATAATAATAAAAACTCCCGAATGTAAAATCATACTTCAACATGATGAAAGCTCCACACATGACTAGGACTCCTCCTAGAGACAGAGCACATCCGATGTATGAAATCCAGCTCAACGCTAAGTTATGTAAAAGATAGGAATCGTCTTCCACACTGGTATCAACCATCTGAACGGAATGAATCTAGTTAATTCAGAAGACTATCGAAGCTATATTTTTATATCATAAATAAATCAATTTCAATCTCAATCTTCCATTTTTAAATGAACACAAATTCCTATTCGAATGATATTGTGTGAGACGAAGTAAGATAGATCACGAGTTGAAAAGACTATAAAGCATTGTTACTTATCGATTGTAATCGGTAAGTATGTTGATAGGTATATGTCTGTCTGTCTGTTTGTCTGTTAGATGTACGCGATATCACACGAAAGCAAGTTTGAATCTGCTCCAGATTTTGCATGTGCATTCATCTTATTTCGGACCAGGAGCCTATTAATTTTGGGCGAATTATGTCGTATAATTAGCGAGTTATTAATTAATTAGTGATTGGACACAATGTGTCACTATGGAGTAAGAGCGCTGTTTTGGGGGTCCCCTAACTTTCGATTGATAAGTCTTCGGTCTCCGACCGATATTCTCGTTTTATATTTCGTCTATATTTTATCAACATATGTTTGAGAAAGTAACTATCAGTAGAGGTTACGCGAGACTTACTCCCAATTCTTCCCCAATGCCTTAGCGCTGGTGAATCCGTACGCGTATAATGCAAATGCTGTAGCAGGAATGAACATGACCATGCTATGCAATTCAACAGTCCTGCTGCACACTGAGACAAAGATATTTCTGTAATGTTTCGCCTGATTAAAATCAGACTTCCTCAGACAAACAGTTTATAGGACTCTTGAATTGCATAGAATCTGAAGTGATGGGAATGTGGTAAAAAATCGTCCAACACAAACAAGCTCTGTTATTCACCTTCAGAAGAACCGCAAAGCTAGTCAAATGAACGCATTTACAGATGGTATGAGTTTCATTCGTCAATTCTAGCTCGCATCCTTCTTTCGACCAGCCACCAGGTGACGAACCATCTCTGAAATTAAAAAAGCAGATGTTAAAAATTTCAATGCTTAATTTTTATTCAATAATTTAGCAGATGCCAGTATTGACTAAAATAGCCAGTATTGACTAAAAGTATTTACTGGTGTCTGTATTTAAGATTATTTGTAATAAAAAGGCAATGCTAAAATATATGGACACAAATACCAAAACAAAGTATTACAGGTATCCAATCTTTCGCAGTACTGGTACTATAGGCTTCTGGATTTGGAATGGACACCATATCGCAACGAACGCAAACACAATAAACTGAGAACGTTATTTTTAATTTTGATGACCTCATCAAACACAAAAAGCGAATTTTAGACCCCACAGAAACTTTTGAAATAAACAAAGGTAACGACAACAACAATCTTTAATAACTAAAAATTCCAAAGAAATTGGTTGAGGTAATTGAAAAAAAGACGATCCTTTCACAACAAGGACAACATAAAAAAGAACATTAAAGATACCAACAACAACAACAATATTACAAAACTATCCATAAGTTCATGTTGTGTCCAATAAAAAACAGTTGCTTTATTCATCTTCCCATTTAACACATTACTCTATATAGACAAAAACTACTATTTACCCTTCTTCCCAATATACACAATGCAGAGACTCTTCTATCGTATTAGGTGCGGTCGTTCCTTCAATTGGTGAGCCCGAAGAATTATCAGCATTTTCCGGGGATGTCGTGCTTTCTGTAACCGCCAGATCCTCCCCATTTTCTCCGCCGTGGGTGAAAAATAATAACTACGGGATCGTCTTTGAAAACGTGCTTTGCCGGTTTGGGATGAACACTAGTGGTCAGTACAGCGCTATTCACACGGTGCGTTGTTCCTTTTCTGGGATATTTTCTAAATTAAAAATAATACAAGTTCAATATATATTGTAAAGACAAAATATAATAGATAAGCAAATAATATATAGGCAATAATACGGCCATAGCGTAGACTCAAATGCTCTTTGAATTTAGGGATTCCTGGTGACTCCTGATAGGAGTGCTACTTTTTGGATAGAACACTTTTGATCAGGTGGCTAGCAAATATTCAATTTCGTATGAGTGAAATATATCAAAAGAAGCTAGTTTGATCTGGCCCTTTGAATGTGATTGCAGTTTCAGTTTAACAACAAACGGGCATCGTTCCAAACTGAAATCTGTCACCTGCCTTTGACATTAGTCCATGGATAATGGATTTTTTTCACTGCTAATGCACGGCGAAATTAATTCTATATAAAAAATAAGATCATCTGTGATAAATAGCTTACACGTCAGCATCACGTGATGGTATGACGTCACTTAAGCCTTTGTATCTGACATGCGTCACAACTGATCTGTTCCGTAATGCACTCCTTGGAACCATGATGATATCACCAGCGAGTACGTCATCTCTTTGTTGTGGCGAAACTAAAACATAAAAAAGAGAATCGAAGCATGTTTCAATATGCATATCGTCAGATATCAGTGGCTCCCACCCCGCACAGGGCCTTGTAGCGAAAGACGTCAACAATTGTTGTATAGTAATACCTATGCCTCCTAATGAATCTGTTATGGTTACAATGATTTTAAAAATTCTTTTCTGAAATAAAATCCGGTTACCCAGGTAAGATGAAGCCTTGGAGCAAAAACTGGGGATAGCCGGCGTCAGTATTTTTCTTATATGTATCAACACTGGTTTTAGCAGTAATTTTCTTCCTATTTTATGTTTTGTTAGTATCTCTGGACTTTTATGTAAGCGTTATTCATATCGTTTCGTGTATATTTCGTTATGAGTGATGGCAGATGGGTAAGTTGAGAGAAAGAAAATTATTACAGTCATTTTTAGTGTCAAGATAATAGAAGGATGAAAGAGATAATATAAGTTTTCACAATGAGTCTTGTTTACAAGGGCATTCTGAAACCAAATATTAAACGAGTCTTTCTCACCAGTAGTTACGACTCGCCCTTCAACATTTTTCTTTTGGGTTGTTTTCGACGGAAAGATATACATAGTATCTGTGTCGATTCCAAACGTCCCCTTGTCGGATTCTTCGTCTCCTTTTTTGTCCGTTTTTGTTTCAGTTTTTTTGAGAGATGCCATCAACAAAGCCTTCGAAATTGCTGGATTGATTACAGGAAATTCGACAATGTCCATCCACATTCCTGAAAATAATTTCAGTTTCATGTTCTCAATCATCTAGTGTAGTGGTTTACGATTGTAAACAAAAATTTGAAGAAAATCTCTTTTTTCGAAATGTCAGCTGATTCACTGCGCCTAGCACGTCGTGTTAACTTGCGACTATATTTTAACACATGTACTTTAATAATTGAAGGGCAGAAATATATGTACATGAGGTGAATATTGATTTTATGAGTACTTCCCCACGGTTCGTTCACGATATGGTACTCAAAACTAATTTTCGAAATTCCATAAAGTGGTACATTTATTTTTATAATTGTTTCAGAACAACGGACCCATAATGTACGGAAAGGTAGGAAAAATATAAAATAGGCTTCGTGAACGTGATTGGTTCAGTATCTAATGAGAAAGCGATAATCCTTTTCAGAAATAAAACACAGAAATCACGACAATAGCAGCATAATGAACAACATCAGCTTAGTAAAACGATTCATAAGTCCAAAAATGTCCTGGTACATTAGCAGAATATTAATATATTCGATATCAAAACGTAAAAAAAATTGTTATCGGTTGCCGAATATACAAAACTCCTACCTATGTTTTCGGATTCCGCTACTATTGAAGTTGAATTGTCGTAAAATAAAAGTCTCTCGCTGACGTCACGTGTGACCACTTCAGATGACGTCACTATACCAGCGATTCCGGTGACATTTGGGTCCTTGTAAAATGAAATATGAAATTATATAATACAACTAACTATACTACTATATAAAATTAAAATTGATTGCTTTAATGTTTTAGAACAGTCGGAAACGTGTTTATCAGTCAATCTATTATGACGTCACGGATTCGGGAGAATTGTTCCTTATACATCGATTTTGTTATCATTCCATGAGTCAAAGATCAAAAATAGGTATCTAATGTGACCGACGTATGTTAACTTTTGTTATAATTTTGTTTCGGTTACTTCAATGGAACATTATTCCTTTTTTATAAACAGCAAGTCCTTATGCATTTTTTTATATATCCTCAATAACATGGCTATAGACGAGCGAACTCTAATAAACTGAAACGTACTTTTGTGGGAGCATTGGAATCTTTTTCGTTCGGCATCACCAATAACTAATGCAGTAGACAGCTAAATTTTTTGTTCATGGGGTATCATTATGTTTGATTTACTTCTTTTATATATCAAACTAATTACGACGAATTTAGCAGATTCAAACTTCGGGGGAATTTGTGAAAACCACTGGAGTGAACTTTCCAAATACTTGTCGTAATATGACACGTCAAGCTTGAGTTAGTTCAGTTAGAGCTGTCAGAGGAATAGCGCGATTCGATATTCAGAATTCGAAATAGAATAGAAATTCGATATGATACATGAAGATACATTGAGCTTTAGAAATGACCAGGAAATGGAATAATTTCACAACAAGAAGTGTTACACTATACGTGTTTTGTTCGAAATTCATTTCATTGCTGCTCAAGTGCGGATGACATAGAATGATCGCTAAGTTTTCAAGTCTAGAGGAAAAGATAGTGTATGACGTACTGCTCTTGTTACAATCGTATTTAAGTAAAGTATATACCAGCAACAAATAAAATTATCCGAATTACCCAGTATCCATGAATAATCAATGTGCTTTCGAGTATCCACGACCTTAGAAAGTGTCTGAAGTGATGCCGTGATGCTCATGTCGCATTGGTATTTCAGTGTGGATTATTAAATAGGAATAAACGAGACCGAAGACTTATCGATCAAAACTGCGGTTTTAATTCATGACTCTATAGTGACACCGCGTGTCCCAACACTAATGAATTAATAACCCGCTAATCATACGACATATTTCATCCAAAATTAATAGGCTTCTGGTCTGAGATATGATGAATGCACATGCAAGAGCAAATTCAACCTTGCCTCCTTGAGATATTGCGTTCATCTAACTGACAGACATACAGACAGACAAATACCTATCAACATACTGATCTTAAGATCGATAAGTAACAAATTATCCTGGATTAGAACTGTATTACTCACTCTTTGCAAGGATTTCCATGATTGCTTGTGCGTCGGTTTCATCATTGAATCACTGACGTTAACAAGTACTTTGGCAAAATTTTCACTGATTTTAGCGGTTGCATTGACTATCGGATTCAGATTCACTACAAGCTGTAAAAGGTTTTTTGAAAATAGCTAAGTATGGCGCTGCGTAATTGAGGATTAACCAACACTTGGCAGTATTGTTTTGTTCGGCTCACATACTCTAAGACACAGCAATGCCTCAATTAGGTGAAGTCGCTAAAAATTACGGAACGAAATTTATATGCAGCTGTGAAATCTAAGTCTGTTTTTGGACCCATTTTTGTTTCTGCGGGCCCAACATTTTGGTATCGAATTTTCTGGTTATCTGAATTCAACATTCGAGATTAGTTTTCTATTTGGAGCTAAGATGAATTCCAAATTTCAGTTACCCGAACCCAATGATTGTTTTTTTGCGTATCCAAGAATAGTATTTAATGCTTTTATTTCATATTTTGAGTAATATGAAATTCTTTTTCGAACCCAAAATCTAAATTTTATCTCATGGTATCATATGCTACTTAAGAAAATGTTCATCTCGTGGAAAACGAAGGCCTATAAGATGCTGAATCACGCGATAGACGATGGCTTCACTCCCGGTTACCAACCTACCTCCATCATTTGACTCATGAGATCCAACTCTCCAGGTGATACCGGAAATTCTTTTCCACTCCCATCGTCTTCCGGTTCAGAGTTCAACGAGTTACCAAAATCAGAAAGTACCTCGGTCGCTTCATCAACGCTAATTTCTGTAAGATTTTGTATACGATGCATCTGTACATAAAAAACAGCAAAATATTGTGTCCGCTAGGTGTCAATAAAGAATCGCTTGAATGGTATTTCAAAGGCTACGCTTGAGTGGAATGGAGTACCAAGATTTTTATATTTATCCCAGGCAAGAAGGGCTTAATCATATGACACACTGCGGGCTCATGTCGGCTTACTAGCCCAGGTCAAGTGAGGAAATAGCTGGTAATTGTTTCAAATGGTGGCAAAAGCCGTAACTGACCTGGAGATGGCGGAAGCCGTAGGCTAACTGACCCAACCTGCAAACCTGCGTCGAAGAGTACAGCAATTTTCTCGCACATAGTTACTCCTACATGGAATTCAAACTTGCTGAGCGGTGTATCAAACAAGTTTGTGAAAATAGGTTTTGGACGGTTATACGGTCCCGATCGCTAACTGAATACCCTCATCAGTAGAGTGGAGCATTTTGGCTACCATATTTAATTTTCCAATGTACACTACATCAAGCATAATGGGTACTCCCGTAAGGTGTGTACCAGGTTGGGGTTTGACCATAATTTTATTCCGATTTTCCTTATTTCAATTTTATTACTATTTCGGGGACTGTCTGTGTTAGCCAAGTGAATATACCCCCTGCCCATAGGTTTCAGTCCCTTTACACAACTTGATGTAGAGTAGGCGCACAAAATTAGTTACCTCCATATTGGTACAAACACTACTGGAGCGCCGTATAATATATGATAAAACAAAGAAATAATTAAACCTTACCTTGTGTTCTAAAATCTTATATTCCAAGGTTTTTCGTTCATAATATCCCCAATTCGGGTAGACGCCAGCTTCGGTTAGGGGAGCAGTCGGCGTTCCGTACTTTCCAGAAGGCGCGTCTTCCCGTGCGTTCTCGTACGTTCCACATCCTGGTTTGCTCTTACGAAAACTGAAACTTTTGCAATAGATTCTCGTCTCGTCTACGCAATGTTTGGCGCACTCTTCCACGTCATTTGTTTGCAACCAGAAGTTATATTCAGCTAAAAAGAAAGGATCATATTTTAAAAATACGGAATTCGAACCAGTTTTGTTTATTTTTGTTGTAAACCTTTTTCGAAGGATACCAAAATATTTGATGTTTTGTTTCAATAATCTCTCGAATGAAATGAAATCAAAATGAACTACAATTTTCGCATGTATCATCTATTTTTCTAGTTTTCTTCTATATGAAAACGTAAAGCGAACATTTTAAAAAATTCCAATTCATCCACATTCAATTATGAGCTAAAATGATGTCACATTTTTGCACGAAAGACGTTTGATGGTGTAGTTACACCAAGAGACAGCATAAATTCATTTGTTTATTTGAACTACAGACAAACTACGGATTTGTAACTCGAAAATGATGTTATTTAAGAAGGGAGTATCATATATTTATTGGACACGTTTAGTGGACATAACGATCGTTTTGTTGTTCTTTGACACGTTTTGAAGAAATCGCTTTTCTCTTTTACTACTGGACCAATTGCTTTGAAATTTAAAGTGGTTAAAAATAAAAATTTTCTAGAGAAAACTATTACTTTTTTTTTTTGCTATGACGTCATCAAATTATTGCCATTAGGTGGCGCTACGTTTTCATATATTTGAGCATAGCTCTCTTGTTGTAAAGATGAAATTAATTTTGATATTGCAATTATTTATGATCATAATACTCACACATTCTCATTCCAGGAATGTAGATGAAGTCGCCCAGAACTGAAAACAGAATTATAGATCAGTTCGAGTTAGATACTTTGATGAGTTCACTATTTATTTATTTCATTTTAGCGTGTTTTGATTTCCACAAAACAAGGTCTTGAACAGTAGATGGCACTCTAAAGATTAACCGACTTTATATATATATATATATATATATACAGTACTGAGTTTTAACCGGTTCTCACGGAATTTTATGAGATCAGCGAACCGGTTAGAATTACTGGTTTATTTGCCTAAGAAATATAACTTTTTGTAACAGAACCGGCTGAAAATTATGACTTTTGTGATGGAACCGGCCGACAAAAAATTTGAATCCCACCACTGTATATATATATAGGGTGTCTATGAAGTCTTAAAATTTTTTAAAATTGCAAAGGGATTTATCGATACCATACATTGTTTTTGCCCCACAGACGCCTTGAATTAAAAGAAAACACTTACAAAAATACTGATTAAAAAACAACAAACATGATCAAGATATATTGAAAACTGACTTCGCAACAAAATTGAAATTGTAAAGGGATTTATGGACACCCTGGTATATTTTATATATCCCCCTGGCATTGCCTCAAGTGAATTAGGTTCTCAAACAAAAGAATATTCCTGTGATCGGAAAGTAAAGAATCATTCTACTCAAATTGTGTCATTTTGAGTGGAAATTGTTCTGGCTGCTCGGCGAATTACAGCCAAAATATAGTCGCAAAAACCGAGATTTAACGACAGTTTCTGATGATTTTTACTTTTACCAAGAGAGTCATATGCTTGGATATTTTGAAATTTAATGGCACCTCTAGAGCAGTGGTTCTCAACCACTGATCCACGACAACCTTCCTACCGGTCCGCGCAATATATTCTAATATTATATCTGCATTGCATAATACAAAGCATTGGTGGCCTTTCCTTTTTTTTGTGCGTTATAACTTCTATCGATGCGTAAATCAAACTTGATCAGAGGTTCTGAGCCTATTTCAAGCCCTGAACGCCTGGGTATTTCGATAAAATAAATTATTATTAAATTGAATTGTGTGCTTTTGAATTGCATTTCCTTGTTGTAATTATATTCGTTTTATTATTTTTTGTATGATTTTGAAGGTTCACCAGTCCGAGAAATTAGTTTCAAAATTTTACTATTCCGCAAACTGAAAAAGATTGAGAACCACTGCTTTAAATATGAACAAGTGAGTTGTAAGCGCCAGTAACTTAACAATCAGTAATCAGTAATTTATTTTCCCACCATACTAAAGTACACTTTATGAATAAGCAATACCTAAAAGATGAAAAATGGTCATTCAGGATGAATGGAGGCGCGAGACACCATTATCGAGCAGCGACACCCATGATTTCTAACAGTATTAGATAAATGAAACAATGATAAAAGAAGTTTTCGGCAAAATAGGTCAAGGCGATCTGGATACCCAGAACACGCTAGAGAAACGGATGACGTCTCCGAGCACCGTCTTGTGAGTGATGAACGGGCGTAACAATCACATTATTGCTGATTGGCAAGTAAAGAATGTACATTGTGCAACCTTTGATGCCGACGCAACACGATGCCAAGAGTCAAGAGATTTTTGACTTTGGTGACAACAGGAATAAAACAAAATTGTAAGTAAGTAATTGTAAGTAAGAGCCAAATTTGAAGTCGGGGCTTGGAATGGAATGTCACACCGCGGATGAACTTAAATATAAAGTTTTTATTCTCTTGGGCTTTTAGCATTGGTTACTTAGAAATTAGAACAAAGCATATTGCCAAGTTCTTATCGATATTGAGACCGTGCTTGATATTGCAGATCTGCTCAAATTGGGAGCCGTAATCGGAGTTTAAATTTATGTCATTCGCGGAGTTGGGATTCAGAATAAGTGCCGATTTTAAACTGTTTGTAATCGAATTTAAGTTTTTTAAACACCATAGAACTGGTCGAATGTTACTAATAATCTATTATATTTCCAAGAAATTTTGGAAAACAAACCAATCATTTCAGCTGCCATTATGTTTTTGAAAGAGTTTTAATATCTGTTCTGATAAAAAAACGGCCTAGCAAAAAATACAACCGACTGGTCTAAGCTAGTTAGTAGTCCGTAGAGAAATGGGATATGCCTGGAACTTTTGAAACAAAATGACGAAAAGAAAAGTACAACCGTCATCAATTTTACAAACTCGCCCTGTGCAGCAGTAAAGTTTTACACGCCCTCGGCCATGAGTTGGATACTGAAGTCGGGTGTTTGGGTTTTACCACGAGTTTAGTGCCTAATATTTCAATTCAACACTTCTAAAATGACACCAGGGGACCGAAAAAGGTACTCCCCAAGTATGTGAACCAAGATGACGGGCACCGAAACGTAGTATGTGTACCTGGTTAAGGTTAGGCGATATTTTCTGGTACAAATACTACGGGAGTCACTTGGTCCCCAAACTCGTAATAGCACTGAAATAAGAAAATTGGAATAAAAGGATGGCCTAACCTGCTACACATTCTACGTTCCGTTGTCTGCCTTCTTGGTTCACATACTTCGGGAGTACCCGAAAAAGTTGGTAAATGACTTTTCAAATCTGATGGGCAACTTTGAATTCCAGAATAAAAAGAGAGTGAGTTATCCTTGCTACAAACGAGAACACGGAACCAAGGAGCGCATTTTTCTATAACGTCATCACACAAAAAAACGAGGCAACCATAGAGGCAACAGAAAATTTCTGAAATAAGTGACAGTAATCTAGCGAAACATCCAATCTTCGACTAAATGTTTGGAAGTAAAAAAATTATGAATTCTTTGTTTCCTCCGCCAAAAATAAAACACCGAAGTCAACGCTTAAAATAGGAAAATTAGTAATTTGTTCAGTTAGGATTCGGAATGCAGATTTCGCTGGAAATCCAAATTCCAAATCATATTTTCCCAAATCTCACATTTTTGCATTAGTGCATTAGTAGCACAGGCTTTGTACAAAAGATCCTAAACAAATTCTCAATTTTTCCAAAAATAAAATCGAGAGCCTCACTCAGGGTGTAATAAATTGGGTAGGCAATTGTCAAACCGAGAAAATTCCGAACTTTCAAAAATAAAGTAGCTTATTATATAGCTGTGGTACATGGCTAAGTATAAAAGACGTTGCATAAAAATGAGATATGAACACCCTCAGTATCTCGAAGTCTTTTTCAAAATTAGCAGTTTTTTTACTCTAATTAAGATCTATCGCCATCGTTTCGTGCGGTGTCGTACACACTCTTGAGAGAATCGTAAGGGCACTTGAGCCATTCGCTAAAAAGTTACCAATCAGCGCTTTTATCTAATCCAATACTTACGATTTTCTAAAGGGCTTTTCGCTACCACAGATCATTCCCGCCAATCAAAGAAATGGACGATTGTTGCGTAAGGTTCCTACTTTATTACGTAGAAAATGATATTTACACAGCCGTGGTTTCTCTTTGTTAGGTCATCAGTATGTCACAATCAATCTATCTCACATTTGTTATGCTGTCACAATGAGTCACTACTTTGACATTTTGTTTTTCATCTTGTGAGGATTGTTTATATTTTTACGAAATTTGACCTTTCTGGACGATGCTCCCAGTTCACATTAAAATCTCCCTTAGTATGATTTAATTTACGAGTGAATAAAAATGGACGCTGAGCTACCAGACAACAAAGTTCAAAAGCTGGAGTGCTCGGAGCAACATTTACAGTCAGGCACATCTTGCATGTTTTTTGTTGTAAATTGTATAAACTATAAATTAAAGTGAAACAAGTTTAATTTTATTTAAACACTATACACATAATAATATGAACTCTCGTATTTGAATTTAAAATTCCTGAACTCTACTGGCGGAAACCTACGACGGCAACTTTTCCAGGTGGTACAATTCTTAAGATTTGCGAATTCAACTAACAAAATACTGTAATAACGGAATTGTACACAGACTAATTTCAATTCTTTGTCTGTGATGTTTTAGCGTGATGTTTTAGCGTGCAAAACTGTAATAATTAAATTTTAAAAAACGGAAGACCGAGTTATCTCATCCTCTACCGGCACACTAACCACATTGTCAACTGTCCTGGCCCCGGGAACTATTCGTTTACTTTTTAAAATACGGAATATTTTTTAAATACAAAGCAGCAAATACTTCTGACTCATTAAACAAAGTAATTTTAGTTTACATAGGAACATTAGTCGGTAAGTAACAATGTGTTTTTTTGTTTTTATTTTCATAAATTCGTCGTGGGGCTCCGTAAATAATAGTCGATCTCTTCACGCGCTCCATAACACCATAAGTTTGAGAACTCCTAATCTACAATATTGTCAGTAAGTTGGCCAAGACAAGTAAATCGATCAGGTATTGCCACAGTTTATCGAGACATTTATATTGACACTCATTTGACATGGAAATTCACTCATCTGAAGGTTTGGTCATTTCTTGGATGAAAAGAGCCATTAATGAATTAGGCTGAGATTGAAGAAGATTTTGTGCCATTTTCCAAATCAATCTACATTCAAATTATTGCTTATTTTGAGTCTTGCACGAAGCTATCCCGTCAGCAGTTATACCAGACCCACGCGGATACTCATTAATGTCATTATACCTTTAAGTTCATCGCTTTGACCCTTGCCTAGCCCTGGAAACCGGAAGTTGCTTACGTTGCGTTTGTTCAATACGAAAACTTTCATAAAAGCTAATTTATTAATAATGCAACTCACCATTTGTGTCTTCTACTGCTTCCGCGAACGATAAATCCGGACAGACGATCACGATGAATATCTGAATAACAAGAGAATAGATGATTGACTGAATTCAGCGTTGCCTAACCAGGAAGAAATTTGTTCCTAGAAAGGAATTTAGTTGTTTACGGGAGGAAATGCATAAATATTAGTTTGTATTCGGATAGTTTTACTAATATCGTTCAGTTATTATTATAGTAGTAACTAAATCAGTACGGTAAATGCAATTCAAACCGTTCGAAAGCCAGAGTTACAGGTAACACTAACTATGCATAGTGACTAATGAGAGTGAAAAAAAGAGAGAAAAAAGAGGCAATTGGAGAAAATATCTAAAAAGGTTGGGAACTATTACCTTAAGATAGCAATTCCCAATCGGGGGCCCATGGCCACCCAAGGGCGCCACAATGCTAGGCGCAAAATTGAATTATTTTGTTGTTGTTTTTCACTAGAAAAAAACGTCTTCCTAGTTTATTTACTCGTTAAGGGTATTTCGCATGGTGTTTTTGCTTTGTTAAGCATGAATTGTTTGAACATAATAGTATTTGGAATCTAACAATCGAATTAACATTATAAATACCACTGGAATAACAAAACATGTCCTATTTTAAACTGGCATTATTTTCGAGAATGGTTTTCATACATGCAAACATTTCAAAACGTGGTTTAAAATGATATTTGAGAACGAAAGATGAACAAAAATTCATTTCATCCCGACCAATATCGAGGCCTGCGTCGTCTGAACAACTCGAGTTATTTTATTTAACACTCAGGCACCGTTAAAAATGAGCTATAGAATTTTTCCTTCCCATGGTGCCGTAAGCACTTGCTTATTTTGTTTCATAAATTTGAATGTTCGGTTTATTTATTTCAGGTTTATTTTTATTTTTTTGAATATTAATATCATACTCTTACGTGCAATGACACAAACCCCGAGTCCTTTTTTAGCGAGGACTTTAAAAATAAGAAAAAAAGACTGAAATCCCAAATTATATGGAACTGTAAACTTGTCAAATTATATGAAACCCATGAGAGAAGCAATAACAGAGTGTTTGCGAATTGCAGAACCTATACTAGTAAGAATGTAACTTTTGGGTACAATCATACGCTAAATTCAAGTGTTGTATGATTTCCGTAGAATTTGTTAATAAATGTATGGATTTTCATTGTTTTGGTTTCACCCTGCATTTTCACTTGAAATGAATTTTTTTCTAATTTTCAATCTGTAGAAAGCTGTATCGAAAATTGTATTACCTAATTGTTAACCATAAACATAGGTTTCTTACCATGATCGGGAGCCATTTCTTGTCGGTTTTACGTCCAGATTCCATTCAGGCACGGTTCAATGATTAGAATATGACGTCAGAAGTAATGATAATTCTACATGACTTCAATTTAGATTTTGAGCATTATTTTATCAATATCTGATGCAAAAAAATCAGTTTGCTATCAGTAAGGGTTATGTAGTAATATTAACTTTCTTCAGTGCTTTTGCACCAGAGTCAGTGGTGGGATTCAAATTTTTTGTCAGTCGGTTTCATCACGAAAGTCATATTTTTCGGCCGGTTCTGTTACTTGTTTTTTTAGTAATGCTAACCGGTTCGCTGATCTCATTATATTCCGTGAGACGGTTCTATAGAACCGGTGAAAACCGGCTGAATCCCACCACTGGTTGATGGGTATTCTAAGTGTGTTCAGGAAGGTCAGATACAAATAACTTGGTGAAACCGTGGGCCGCACCTTCATTTAACATGATTGTGCTTTCTACTAGTTGCAGGCACAAAAATTTTGGTTATTGATTTTATGACATGCGTTTTTTGCTTCGCACTAGCTAGCTGTTAGGGAATTATAACGTCACAGGCATAGGTGATGAATTGGGGATTGGAGATACTCGCACGTACTATATTAAAACAAATTAAAAACTAGTTCACGGGCCGCGAACCTGTTCTAAGTGATTCAATGTATTTTATAAAGCGTATTATCTGATTAAGACCAGACGACAAGTGTATACATTTCATTTGGGAGGAATTTATGAAGTTTTTTGTGTTAGTAATGACCTCGGATAGAGATGATCATTTGTCGATTGACGCCACCTACAAAATTTAGTGATCAAGCTAATCATTGGGCGAGTCGTTATAATAATAATAATAATAAGTTTAATTTGACTCCGTAATCACTATAAAAGACAATAAAATAAAATAATTGGTAAAGCAAAAAAACCTTGAGTGTGGTTTAAAACGTTCTGATGTTAGATTGAAAGGTGTTGTCGTTCCTGAAATAATTTGAAACAAACCAGCTCCACTCGTCGCGATTTGTATAAAAAAAATCTGCAAGAGAGATTCGCAAGATGAGTCTCATGGAATTTTAATGAGCTCGAATTTCTTAAACAAAAGTCAACTTCTTCTGCTCGATAACCATTAGGCTACTGGTTGCTTATTGCAACTCCCTTCGCGCTGAAATAAATTATTTTTATTTTCGGTAAGAGAAAAAAGTAAACTACTGACTGACTGACTTCCTTGTCTAATATAAATAAATAATACCTATTTGGGTATCACACCTAGTACAACTTCAAAATCTACAATATAGCTTGAAATTCCAAGTTTACTTCACATGCGCACAGTTTCTCAGAACTAAAATTTCCACTGTATCATTCATCGTAAACAATTATAACTAAGTCACCTTCAAAAATTGTGAAACACTTCCAAACCTCACCAGCACTTTTCCTAATTATCCGTGCCAAGTGGAGAGAGAGGCCAACCCAAATTCTTGAAGAAATTTTCAAGTGTCTGTCGCGAACGCCTGTCATCTTTTACCCTTGATATTAATTCTAGCACACTTTTGTCAGTGCAATATTGGGTCTAACGCACATGTTATATATATATATATATTAAAATGTATGCATTTGGGAAATTATGCCGTGAGCTACCCTCGAATGAATGGAAATAACGACCTAATAATACAAAAACTTTAAACCTCAATTTACTACAGAGCATTAAGTGGTATCGGTACTATCGGTAACTAATCATAAAGTCATTTATATTATATATATAGCATAATTTATGTGTTGGTGAGAGTGGACTATTCTTGAATAAATACGAAAACGCATCCGAATATAGACAGGGTGACCCAAAAAATAAAAAACGTAAATTTCCTAATTTCTTTAACGAAGTCGGAGAAAATTTATTCAACACTTAAACTTCTGTTTGTGTATAATTGTACTCGTAAGTTTTAGTGATCTAGGACGCTTAGCGCAAAAGTTATGCTCTCTTAAATATGTTCCAAATGACATAGGTTCGGTCTTTTGGTCACCCTGTGTCCTAGATACCGGAACTAGTCAGCTTGAAATTCAATTTTTTTTTTTACATGCGCACAGATTCTCAACTCTGAAATTTCCACTGTAACATTCAGCGTGAACAATTATAACTAAGTCACCTTCAAAAATTGTGAAACACTTCCAAACCTCGCTAGCACTTTTCCTAATTATCCGTGCCAAGTGGGGAGAGAGGCCAGCCCAAATTCTTGAAGAAATTTTCAAGTGTCTGTCGCGAACGCCTGAAACTACTTGTCCAACGTCGTCAATGGCTCTTACGCTTTTTAGTGTGAATATGTTAATCTATCGACTATTCCAGTGTTAAAAATGAGAAGTGGTCCAATCACGTGCGTTGGAAGGCCATTACATGGACCTTGCCCAGGTGTGGGCAAATTACGGTTCGCGGACGAGTCTGGCCCTCAGAAGAATTTGAACCGACCCACTCGTGCCGACAGAAACTACTACTATAGTCTTTAAGGATATGAATTTGCGTTGGAAATATTGATGGAAAAATTGAAAAGCCTGAATTGATTAGAAAAATTGAATAACCTGCCTTTAAACACAGAAAACGAAAATGCAAATTTATTATTTTCTTCGTATATATGTGTAAATTTCCCAAGTTGTTTTATTAATAAAGCTACCAAATTTATGCCAAGGAAAGAAAAATGGAGTTTGTTAATTTTGCTTTGCCATATATAGACCCTTCGAACTGTGAGTGTTTTGTTTCGTAGTTAGAACATAAAATGTCTATATTCCGTACACAGTCGTCGCTAAAGGAAAAATACAGTCTGGTATTACATTTTGCTAGACTTTTCTCAAATCATATATTGTTTCATATTTAGTCAAGGTAGTAGTTGACTTAGTCTTAGATGGCCGTATCACTCCGTTCTGTCGATACCAAGATAATATTGATTATTGTTTTTTATTTCTTTGATGACTGCGTTTTGCTAGTAGGACTAGACATTTCGAATCGAATATTCGAATAGTAAATTATTCGAATCGGTTCAGAGCAATATTTCGAATCGCCGCCATCTTGTTTTTTTTTCTTACCGCCAATGGTCGACGTGACTTCCTTAATTATTTTTTATCGGAGCCATATTATTTTAATGCAATTATGACATATGACTATTTTTTGTAGTGAGTTATTGATAAAACGTGTTTCTTATTGTGTGTGAACGCTCAGCAATCTGTCTGAGTGATGTATTTTACGTTGCCAGTAATTCATATGTTGAAAGGACCAATTACAATAAAAAAAATCGCATATAAATATATATGCGATATATATATATATAATCGCATATGTATATATCTCTCAGGTATTCGAGATTCGATTCGAAAAAAATATTCGATCCTGAAATCATCAAGTATTCGAAAATACCGCGCCCTATTCGCTACACAAAATAGAAATCCCTCTTCTGTCTGCGTTTCAGAACTTTTTGGCGTCCCCAGATGGTGAACTCATCAAAATATTATATTTATGTCAGTGACTAAATGACCCTGTTAACCGAGGAGAGGCTATGGTTCGCCCGGGATAAATCCTATTCTATATACCTGAAACAAAAAACGAACGTGTTATCGAGATTTGAGAGACAATCTGAATCATCGGTGCGAGCCATTCGTGAAGTGAGATTGGAAATAAACCAGGTAAACATGTCGCGATCTAGCTAAGCTTCATTTGGCTCGGCGGCTTTGTGCATCGTTCTCAGCGTTAGGAATACACTTGCCACCTCATCTCTGAAAACCCTACTTGGGTTCTCATGTTCATATTCCGAGAGGAGGTAGTTATGTGCAAGAAGATTGCTGCACTCATCACCACCGAAGGAGGTGTTGACGTAACCGTCGTTCGTCTTCATACGACACGAAGTCGATGCTTTCTGAAAACAAATAACTGGCTAACTAATCCCGTACAAGGCCTTGACTAGTAACCGATTAACTGACAGTGGTTCGCCATATATTTACGCTTTCTTGTTGACTATCCTCTCCCCCAGAATGAATATGTAGTAATTTCCTATCTTCTTCTATCTTAATCACACAAACGAACTGTATGTCATAGTCTGTTGGATGAAGTCATGCCCGCATATTGCAATGTAACTTCATTACTGAACTATACAAAGAACAAGAACACTGCACAAAGATAGGTAAACTGGGCCCAGGATCAAGAAAGTCAGAGATGCAGAACAAAAACCACTAAATTTAGAACAAAGAGCAACTGGTGAATGTCAAAATGTGCTGGATAAAAACAGATTTAATCGTTATTCTATTTAAATTCATTGACGAGGGCCTACATGATAGATGAACACATTTCTTATTAAATTCAAGGTCCAACCTTTGAGAACATTGAACAAAATTTATGATATGATAAGTTAATCCTAGAATTATTGCATTAAATTTTGTTTGCTTAAGCATCCTAATTGGCCTTTGCCCCCTTAATTGACCTTTGACCCCTTATTCCACAACCATATCCTCTTCTTCATCCTTCTTAGAATCCGATGATTTTGCTTCACTGTCTTGCATTGCTTTGGCAAACCCTTCAACATCTAAAAAGGTTGAGATTATATTTACAGTTACAGTATTTGGAAACTGAGAAAAATAAACAGGATGAAGGGGCTCAGCTGTTGCCACTCTGTGGTGTTAAGAACATGTTTGTCATTAAAACTGTGATGCATATTTATGTGTGAAAAGATTTCTGGAAAGCAGTTAATTTTGCGCGATTCCCTTTCATCCCATGCGGGAATGGGTATGTGCGAGAGGATTGCTGGACTCCACGTCGCCGCAGGGTGGTTAACGTAACCACTGGTCGGTTACAGCTTCCTCCGCCACCAAGTTCATGCATCTGTAAACAAACTATTTCCGACATGAACTAACCAACTGTAACTAAGATGTGGCTGGAGTCGCCTCCGATCTGGATATATGCGCCTAACATCGGCCTGGTGCCAAATTTTATTTTCTACCCTAAAAGTTTTATGTGGATGGTTGTACATTGAGTATGAATTGTGCCTTATAATTCGTACATAGAGGTTGCTTAATTTAATTTGTCTCATCAAATAAAATGATCGCTCAATTTAATGTTGCATATGACAATATATAAAAATTTAATCGCTGCAATTGTACAAAAGCACAGCTGAATGATATGGTGATTTATTTTTATAATTACTGTATATCAATTGAATTTCCCCGACTTTTATTTTTACTTTCTCTCCCAAATCATATATAATGATTCATATCAACCTTGTTGGTTAATTTATGAATGGATAAGCTTTTCTTTGTGCATATTGCTTTCACTTATTTCAATTTTTTATTATTGACTCATTTTTAATCTTGGTGTCGCAGACTTGTGATGACCATTCCTGGTCTTTCGCGACTTCCTGTCAATTGCGATGAAATCCGTTACTGTATTTGAAATGTACTGTAATACTGAATTTGTATTGTGATTTCTTGCACGACGAAATAAACTTATTGTCTATTGTCTATTGTCTATTGAACTTGTAACCGCCGGTGGTTCGACATATGATTAAGGCCTGTTATCATCGTTACCAGAATAAATATGTAAATCCTATCCTAAAAAGAAATTGGAAGCTAAAGACCGAGTATATTTTACAAACACACTAAAAATTGAAAGAAATATTGCGAAAAGGGGGACGGTTGGCTGTTAGCACATTGTAGTGATGAAAACGCGCTTGCCAATAACACGTGAAAAAAGGTACCAGTGATTACTTATCGATTTTAATCGGTAAGTATGTTGATAGGTATTTGTCTGTCTGTATGTCTGTTTGTCTGTTAGATGCATGCGATATCTCACGAAAGCGAGATTGAATCTGCTCCAGATTTTGCATGTGCATTCATATTATCTCGGACCAGAAGCCTATTGAATTTGGGCGAGTTAATAAATAATTAGTGATGGGACACACAGGTGTCACTATGGAGTAAGAGCACTGTTTTGGGGGATCCCCTAACTTTCGATCGATAAGTCTTCGGTGTCTGACCGATATTCTCGTTTGTTATTTGGGCCTAATTATATTGTAGTTTAAAATCTCGATTGGAATATCAACCCTCAACACACAACCAAATGTGTAGTAACTTCATGCTATAACTATTTGAGGTGCTCCCGAAGTATGCGAACCAAGATGGCGGACAACGGAACGTAACATGGGTAACAGGATTAGGCGATAATTTTTTTCCAATTTTCCTTATTTTAGTCCTATTATCAGTTCGAAGACTAGCCAAGAGCCTCCCGTAGTATTTATACCTAAAATTATGGCCTAACCCTAACCTGGTTCACATATTACATTCCGATGTCCGCCATCTTGGTTCGCATACTTCGGGAGCCCCCTATTTGATCATTTCTAAACACAGTAATTACTTACTGAGACTGCTTGTCATGAGTAGGGCTGGGCATTTTCGAATACTTTGTGATTTCAGAATCTAATCGAATAATTTTTTCGAATCGAATCTCGAATACTTGAAAATATAAAATTGTAAGCGACTTCATTATAGTAATTGGTCCTCTCAACAAATGAATGACTGAAGACAGAATAAATCACTCAGATAGATTACTAAGCATTCACACACAGAATAACAAACACGTTTTATCAATAACTCACTACAGAAAATATTCATATGTTAGAATTTTGTTGAAAAAATATGACTCCAATGAAAAAAAATTAGGGATTTCACCTAGACTATTAGCGGAAAGATAAAAATAAGATGGAGGCGATTCGAAATTTAGCTCTGAACCGATTCGAATAATTTACTATTCGATTCGAAATGCCCAGCCCTAGTCATGAGTAAGAGCCTTGCTCAAACTTCTTTAGCAGCTTCGTACAATACAGTTTAAAGTAGTCGTAATGGGGATTATATGGGAACCCTATAACTCCCCACGTCCATAAATTTACCCTGGGTGTTAAATATTGTCTCATTGTCTTATGACCTGTTAAGAATGAATTGGATTTACATATTTCTGCAGAGAGAGAGACGAAGAGGGAGGTTGATAAGGCGACTTATCATATGGTGAACTGCAGCCTCTTGTCTAGTTACCATTCCATGTCGCGTATGGGATTAGTTAGTCATTTGTTTTTTGGAAGCATGAACTTGATTACGGAGGAAGCCGTAACAGACCAGCGGATACGTTAACCACCCTACAGCAACGAAGAGTTCAATCCTCTCGCAAATATTTATCATCCACAAGATTCAGAGTAAAGGAAATTAGAGGTGCAATGGCAATGGTATTCCTAACACATAGTTTGACGCGTCACACTGCCAAATTGTAAAAAAACAAACCTCCTTTAGCTGCCGCATCCAATGCAGTCTGGGGCAATCCAAATTGTTTCAATACAGGACCAAGTTGTCCAGTCGCCAGTGCTTCACTGAATGAAGACATAGCCTGTCTGAATTGTGGTGATTTCACTGTTGCTTTTAACTCATCTGCAGTAGAAGGAATGGATTCTCCTTGAGGTAAGAACGGCTTCAGTCTTTCTTGAACCTGTCAAAAAGAGAATGATATAATGATGACCCTAAAATACGTACAATATTTATAGTGTTACAAAAGAGAAAGTTGAAAACAATAAGCCATGTGTCGAAACTAAATTTAACTACAATCTCAACAAATCCCTTGGGCTATTTTTAGCAAAAACATCAAAATTTTTTTTTTTTTGGTTGTAGCAGCATCAGGAGGGCCGAATTGAAGTACCCGATGGGCTGGATTTGGCCTGTGGGCTGTAGTTTACCCATGTCAGGTATAAATCTTACCTCAGGATTGGCAAGTATTGGAACCATAACATCAGATGTGATCGCCTTCGACAAGTCGACCGGTTCTGGAAAACAAGAGATGTGAAAAATTAGTCGACTTAATCTATTTTTGACGTACAAGCGAAGATGCAATTGTTTGGATTAGAAGTCTCCAATAAGTGCGCCATGTCGATTAAAAGAATTGTCTTAAACTAAGTAAAATATGAATGAATAATTTAAATATTGTGTATATTAATCAATAGTTCCATTTAACCGTTCTATGTTGTTTGCTTCCTGTTATGCAGTGTCTGCTTTTATTGTTACGTAACAACAGAGATGGACACTACTTACAGAAATTTCGTGAGCTGCAGTTTATTCATCTGCTGAACAGAGTTCAGCGAACATGAGTGATTTTTTTAGCATTTTAAAGGAGAATCAAGCAGAGATGAGAAAGAAGGATCTACTTTTTGCCTTTATTCCCTAGGCCTACGTGTCTCCAAACTAAAGTACACATTAACGATCAAATAATAAAGTTTCATTCAAAAACAGCATTTTATTCATATGAGTGCGCCGTTACTTTTTTTCCCTGATAATTTTGTGCCACTTATAAGAGAAGTTTGGGAGCCGCAATTCCAAATAACGAAATGTTTGTTAAGTTGACAAATCAGTACCTTCCATCGCCATTGCCTGTTGTTGAACTCCCATCTGTGATAAGATATTCTGCAGCTGGCTCAGTTGTACTCCAGATGCCGCGGCATCACTGACAGGAGTTGCCGGTGTCGCAGGTGATGGTGTCACTGCCGCTGGAGTTGTTGAACTAGAGATAGTATTGGTAATAGATACATTGATTTTGAATTAGTTATGAGTATTTATTTTCAAACAAGAAGCACTGCGTTAAAAGGTGTGCTACAAGTGTGAGGAGCCAAGCACTACTCCATTACACTGTTGAGAGCCCTAACTTTCTTGGTTCAAATCCTGCTATAAAGTATTCGCGAGAGGCTACATTTTACTCCTTAAATGTATGAATGATTGTGTGCAATAGAATTGAATTGAGAATTGCCTGCCTTACCTATTAAAGATGGTTTGGATCGTTGAAGTTTAAAAAAAGTTTTTAGCCGTCAAGCTCAGTTGACAGTTTATTTTTTTTGATCACCCTGTACAAACCCTTCTCACCTTATCCTATCTGTAGTTACAGACGTAGTAGTAGCAGGCCTTGCAGTTGTTCTAGCAGTTGTCGGTGTGGTGGAGGCCTGAGTCCGGGTTGTTCTGTTGCTCCTACCACCGCTACCCCCACCAGCTGGAAATGGAGGAATTTCTTTGTCAATTGGAATAATAAATTTTTACATCGAGAACTGGGAAAATGTGGTTGAAAATGAAGACATATTAATGTTTTTTTTGTAATAGATAGCCCATGAAATATTCACAGTAAGTATCAAAATACAACTTGAAAATATTATTACCATACTACTCAATTGAGGACAGAATATTCATTCAGGATGGCTAGATTATAATATGGTAAAACACTGCTATGATTCTGTTCAAGTCATTATCAAATATAATGGATAGATAACCACCTTATCATTCCATGAATTGGATACATAAAATTGAATGGAGGAGGAAATGCAACTGACGTTGGGCTATTTCACTCCCCATGGAACATGAAGGAATATACCTCACAAGGGACTCCCGTAGTATTTGTACCTGAAATAATGGCCTAACCTGGTACACATACTATATTCCAGTGTCCGCCATCTTGGTTCACATACTTGACCTGGGGCTACTTCACCAGTCTTGGGACATAAAAGAATGTAACTTACCTCCGCCTGCACCAAGCAGACTGCTGAATCCACCTAAGTTACCCATTCCCCCTCCCGCAGCCATCAGTTGCAGAAGCTGATTGTTGTCCATGTTTTGAAGAAGATCCTGAAATATCAATGAGAAAAACATAGGGAAATATTTTTGCAGGGCAGAGTAGAATAAATGAAAAAATTGATATTTTCCATTAAAATTTTTCTGATTTAAAGGGAGTGAACCAGACTTGCTATGAAAATGATAAACAATAGCACAATGCACCAGCAGAATTATACTTCAATAGCTCTTATTATTTTAATGGTCACCTATGATTTTGGCCACAGATTGACGGGACCATCATTTACTTCTGATTAAGTGCACATGACTTTGCTTTGAGCAACTAATCAATGGAAAGGCACGTCCTCTACAATGTCTAAGCCAAATGATGGAGCTATCTTAAAGATTTTCTTCCTCCTCAGAATGACATTAAATACTATCACTTCATTAACAGAATATTTTGGTTCAAAAACCTTTTAATGAGGGCAAACATTAAAATGAATTGTATTTCACTATCAAGCGTTACACGCATATATAACGCGATGCGTCTTAGACATTATAGCGCCATTGAGTGTGGGACAGATGGGGAACCCATAAAATTATACAACATAGTTCCAAGTGTGCGGATGAAGGTGTCAAGCCTACAGCCACCCTGGTACATGATCTGATAAAAATTCTTTTATGATTCACTTCTAAGTATACTGTATGCCTGGTGCCTCTTTAACGCTTCTGTTTTGTCATTATACTCGACCAGTTATTGTTTCAAATAGAATGAAAATTTAGAAAGATTAAAACCATTTCAAACCTGAAATCCTCCTTGTCCAAGTTGATCAATTCCTGATAGATCTGATCCACCACTGGACTGACCAGGAGTCGGAGGGTTGTTCAAACTATCGTTCACTTTCTTACTGTGCTCTTCATCCTTGTCAGTTTTCGGTTCCTTGAAAAAAAATTAACAGCTCCGGTTAAAAACAAAGTGCAGGAATACGGATGCACTAAAGCAGTGGTTTCAAATTTTTTGACACATTCCTTCCTTCAGTTATTTTGGAATTCTTTATTCCTCCCATACTATGCATAATAACTCTGTCCCCATTATTTGTTCTATGTTAAATGGATCCTTTGAGTATGAAATCTGTTTTATCACCTTTATTAATGGAAATGAGCTAGAGATATATGCAACTCGATTTCTTGCTTTTTCACAATTTGAATAATTTTTAATTAGTGCATGAATGATTATTAACGTTTGGTGTTACAGATCCTGTGAAGAAGGTGACAATTATTTACGAAGCCTCACAATGAATTATAAGAAAACACATTGATACACACTTATTATTGTAATTCATTGCATTTAACGTCTCTGATGTATTTTCTGCTTGTCAAATTTTATTAATGCTTTTTTTGCTTCCTGGACAGTTACAAAATTAGCCAAGTCAGTATTTTAATAAGTAAACGAATAACTCGCGAAGCCCCAACGTTTTTCTCACAGAGCCCCGGGCGGATGGAGCACCTAAACCACCTTGGTTTGCACCAGAGTTACAAAATGGGGTGGTTAAGAAAACCAAACAAAAACTACCTGCATCCAGAAGAAAAACTTTCGTGATGAAGCCTTGAATTTGAGAATGTACACACGTCCAGTCGTACATTGAGAAACTCTTTTAAATTCACAATCATCTGTAAAAATACAATGAATTGAATTGATGGCGTTGAAACTGAAGCTCCAAATAAGCAGTCTATGAGTTATGGGCAGCATAATTGTTTCACATAAATAGAAATTTAAACAGAATGTTCAAATCACCGGATTGGGTGATTGCTGGACACATCATCGCTGTAGTTGGTACTGCTGGGATGTTACAATTTCCTCCAGCCTTGAGTCCCTGAAAGACCCTCACTATTTGTGATTTCAAATGAAATAATTTAAACGATTTCTCTAAGCGGGGAAAATAACTTTTCACAATATGTGATAGGATACTTCAGTACAATTGACTCTAAAGATTTCATGTAATGATTTTTTATACGCAATGCTTATTCACACCTTTCCCATTGAATACAATTCTGTATATGCATCCATTAATAACTAACAATAAGTAAGGCGTGATTTTTGAAAAGATCTCAATGCTTGAAGAAAAAGAGAAATATCAGCGCGATTATCCTAATAAAATAAACAATAAAAAATGACAGTAAAATAACTATTTTTTGACATGTCAATCATAACCCCAACCTGACTACGCCATCCAAAAATTACATCATAGTGCTTGCCAAATATACGTACGATCTCCCGAAATGGCATTGGTGACAACGATAAAGGACTGGCTAATGTCAGCACTCTCTCTCACACGGCGAAAAAACAGAAAAATAGCTGTTTCATTTCAGGTGCTTGTCTGCTCGTCTTGGATGACAGTTCGTACAGTTTGACGGGCTCTACGACTACAATGTCACTGTGACGTAATTTTTGGATGGCATAGTAAAGTGGGTTTAGGATTGATACCAGAAAAAGTTTTCATGCTACGCCCATTAGAAGTACGAAGGTTAAGTACGAAACAGTTTGTTACGTATGAAACTACATGAGACTCGTCATCTTACCAGGGAAAATGATGAGATCATCTTCTACTTTTCCACTTGTTCGATCCTTCCAACAGAAATGAATCAAATTGTCATCAGACTGGTGAACGTAAACAAGACCTTTTCTCTTGTCTGGATTCACCATGGTGCCCTGAAGTTGTTTGTAAAAAAAATTTGTGGTGATCTATAAACTTTTGACTAATTATGTTGTAATAACATACAGACATATTTTCAAGTTTAATCAACATAGTTAGTAAAAAATAGCATTCCAAGGAAAATGATGGTGACGTTTTTAGATTGCACTTCTTTGTAGTTTTTTTGTGCAACCTTATTTTACAGCAGTTTTACCGATATTGAGGGACGACAATGTCCAGGCGACCCCGAAAGGAAAGGGTATTTGTTCATCGACAAGGATAGGATAGGATTTACAGATTTATCCCGGGGGAGAGGAAAGCCGATAGGACGGCTTATCCATATGGCGAACCACGGCCTCTCGTTCGGTTACCATTCCAAGTCGGGTATAGGATTAGTTTTTACTGTATTGTTTGTTTTCGGAAGCATGGACTTGGTGGTGGAGGAAGCCGTAACCGACCAGCGGTTACGTGAACCACCCAACGACGGCGAGGAGTCCAGCAATCCTCTCGCACATAACCATCCCTGCATGGGATTCGAACCTGCGAACCCACGCAGAGTAATTAGAGGTGCGGTGGCGAGCGTATTCCTAACGCTTAGCCCGTTGAGCCACACCGCCGCGCCAAAATGCAGAAATGGGATTCGGTTTGTTGGTTAGTGTCGATATAGAGTGTGTCTCGTAAAGGAGGGGTTGATAATCCCTGATATAATTGATGTGTTTTAATGTGGGGCTATACATCAGTATCGAAGAACTGTGCATACTAAATGACATTTACAGATTTAAAAGAACAGAATTTTTTTTATGCATTGATTGACACACAGTCTACTGAAACTTTGAAGAGCATGACCCAAACTTGGCACTCAAAATTAATAGTAGCCTAGTCTAAACCGTTTTATCCACTTTGAAAGAAAAAAACTAAAACTATTTCACACCTTCATAAACATCTTCCCAGCTCTGAATTCCACCAAATTCTTGGAAGAGGAACGACCTCCTGCAGATGATGTGTTCGCGAATAAAGCCATATCTTTGTTGTCACTTTATATTTTCAAAATTATCGCAAGATTTTAAACAAATATAAAGACCAAAACTCTAACAAAAGTCAAATGAATCGCCAAGAACTGAAGACCGTGTAATCAAAGTTGCTGATTCATGAAGTGATAAATGCTTTTTAATGTTATAGTGAAGTTACGATGCAATAGATGTTTCTCGACCTTTGACCCAAGAAAACTCTTTTACACTTCGCCATTACAAAATTTCTGATTTCTATTTTAGAATTGTGTTCTTAGGAATTATCACGCTTTTCCCTATTTATTTTTTAGTAATATTTTTACACCATACTCTTTATTAAGGAGTCTTCGATGATATTATTTCCTTGCTTCTGTTTTCCATTTTTGGTCAGGGTCCGTGTCCAAAGATTTTTTTTTTATTCAATCAATTAATAAAATTTAAAATTCTTCTTGATGTTGTAATTTTTACATTGAACATGTTATGTTTCAAAAAACTACTTTATCTCTCAAAATCGGAAACTTGCTCTTAATAATTTTTGAATTTAATTGTGTTTTATTATTTGCCAGATATTTTATATACAAATGTAAACTATCACTGTGAAGCTAGCAGCACTTTCAGCCAGAATATTTTTACACATTGAATATGGTTATAGGAATAGGTTCCACGCGAATATAATGTTCACTTATATGTAAATATGAAAATTGAAAATGCTGATCAAAATATAATATTGGCACGAAAATAGATGAAAAATCTTTAAACTAAAATAATACATTAAATTTAATAAGAAAATAGTGTTTAAAAAAAGACTAACTAAGCGAAAAATGAATTTTCAGGCATTCCGCAAATACAAAGTTTCGGAAAATTATCCTTTTTGGAACCTCGATTCCTCGAAAACCGCCAATAAAGGCAGCACCACGACACATTTGGAGAAAAGCAGATACCCTATAAATTCGATTTTTTTATAACAGAACAGTAGCAGCACGTTTTGGCTTGACCATATATATTACCAAACATATCGTGTAATCTAAATTTTAATAACGGCATGGACGTAACAAACTTAAAATTGATTTTGTATTTCAACTAAAATTGCTAGACAATGGATCAAATATAATTTTCTCTTTGTCACACATTAATACTGTACATCTTTTAAACTTGGAATACGTTGCGGGAAGTATAAAACAGCAAAAAAACATTTGCGACTCCTAGTGGATTCTGTCCTGGATTACAAAAAATTATTGTTTTTAAAATGGCGATTTCTCGAAAACCGCCAATAAAGGCAGCACTACGACATATTCGGATAAAAGCACATACATTATAGATTCGATTTTATTATGCCAGAACAGTAGTAGCACGTTTTGACTTGGCCATATATAATACCAAACATAGCGTATATTCCTCGATTTTTAAAACAACGGTACGTAACATATAAAAAAAGGGTTTGTATTTCAACTAAAGTTGCAGGATAATTGATCAAATATCTTTTTCTCTCTGTCGCACATCAATACTGTACGTCTATTAAACTTAGAATAAGTTTCAGAAAGTATAAAGTAATAATAAAAAAAATTTCGCGCACCCGCTTGAATTAGTTTGAGAATTTCGAAAATTATCGTTTTTGGATTGGTGATTTCTCAAAAACCGCCAATAAAGGCAGCATCACGATCACGACACATTCAGAGAAAAGCACATACCTTATGGATTCAATTTTATTATGTCAGAACGGTAGCATCACGTTTTGACTTTGCCATATATAATACCAATCATAGCGTATACTCTTCAATTTTATGAACAATGTGGACGAAACAAATTTAAAAAGGAATTGTATGTCAACTAAATTTGCTGAACAATTGATAGAATATATATTTTTCTCTTCGTCACACATTAATACTGTACGTCTATTAAACTTAGAATGAGTTGCAGAAGAAAAGTATAAAATACCAAAAAAACATTTTACGCCCTCTCGTGGATTCTTTTCAAAATTTCGAAAAATTATTGATTTTGGAAGGGCGATTTCTCGAAAACCGCCAATGAAGGCAGCACTACGACACATTCGGAGAAACGTAGATACCCTATAGATTTGATTTCACTATAACAAAACAGTGACAGCATGTTTTGACTTGGCTATATATAATACCAAAATAGCGTGTATTCTCAATTTTCACAAATGAATACTGTTTATTAAACTAAGAATTAATTGGGAAAGTTTAAAATATAAAAAAAATTCCAGTCCAGTTTTGACTTGACCATATATAATACCAAACATTGCGTATAGTTTTCAATTTTATCAACTATGTATATGTAACATATTTAAAAACGGTTAGGTATTTCAACTAAATTTACTGGATAATTCATCAAACACTTTTCTCTCTTGGTCATACATCAAAACTGTACGTTCATTAAACTTGGAATGAGACGGCGAATCCTAAAATAACAAAAAATGATTTGACGCCCTCTTGTGGATTATTTTCGAAGTTTTCAAAAAATATCGTTTTCAAAAGGGCGATTTCTCAAAAACCGCCAATAAAGGCAGCACTATGTCACATTCGGAGAATATCAGATACCTTATAGATTAGATTTCATTATGTCAGAACAGTAGCAGCACGTTTTGACTTGGTCATATATAATTCCGAACATAGCGTATATTTTCAATTTTATTAACTATGTAGATGTGACATATTTAAAGACGGTTTGGTATTTCAACTAAATTTACTGGAAAATTCATCAAATACTTTCCTCTCTTGGCTATACAACAAAACTGTACATTCATTAAACTTGGAATTAGTGTGCAAATCCTAAAATGCCAAAAAATGATTTGACGCCTTCTTGTGGATCCTTTTCGGAATTTCGAAAAATTATCGTTTTTGAAAGGGCGATTTCTCAAAAACCGCCAATAAAGGCAGCACTATGACACATTCGGAGTAAAGCAGATACCTTATAGATTTGATTTCATTATGTCAGAACAGTAGCAGCACGTTTTGACTTGGCCATATATAATACCAAACATAGCGTGTATTCAAACTTTTATAAACAATGCAGACGTAACATATTTAAAAACTGTTTGGTATTTCAAATAAATTTCCTAGATAATTTATTAAACATCATTTTCTCTTGGACATATATATATACTGTACGTTCATTAAACTTGGAATAAGTTGCGGAAAATATAAAACAACAAAAAAACATTTACGACCTCTAGTGGATTCTTTCCAAAATTTCAACCAATTATCGTTTACAAAATGGCTATTTCTCGAAAACGGCCAATAAAGGCAGCACTGCGACACATTCGGAGGAAATAAGATACCTTATAGATTCGATTTCACTATACCAAACATAAGCAGCATGTTTGACTTGGCCATATATAATGCCAAACATAGCGTGTATTCTCAATTTTATGAAAAATACCGACGTAACAAATTTAAAATGAATTTGTATTTCAGCTAAAGTGACTGGATAATTGATCAAATATATTTTTATCTTTGTTACACATCAATACTGTACGTATATTAAACTTAGAATAAGTTTCAGAAAGTCTAAAATTATATGAAACATTTTCGCACCCTCGTGAACATGTTTTAAAATTTCGAAAATTATCGTTTTTGAAGTGGCGATTAAATTCACTTAATAACGTAATATTCCGTTTTATTACTTTTTCAAACACACACAAACTTGGAATAAGTTGCAAATTGTATAAAACAATGAAAAAATGTCTTACGCCCTATATAAGATTATTTTATTTCCCAAACATGCCGTTTTTGGAGTGACGATGTCTTGAAAACCGCCAATAAAAGAAGCATTTCGACACTTTAGTAGAACAGCAGATACATTGAAGATTCGATTTGACCAAACCAGAACAGTAGCAGCTCGTTTTGATTCGACCATATTTAATACCAAACATAGCGTGTATTCAAAATTTCAAAAAACAATGCAGACATAACATATTTTAAAAGAGTTTTATATTTAAACTAAATTTACTAGATAATTTATCAAACTTCCTTTGTCTTTCTAACACATCAATATTGTACGTTCATTAAAGTTGAAATAAGTTGCGGAAAGTATAAAATATCGAAATATCTTTTTACCCGTCTTGTGGATTATTTTCAAAATTTTGGAAATTATCGTTTTTGGAGTGGCGATTTATCGAAAACTGCCAATGAAGGCAGAACCACGACACATATGGAGAAAATTATATAACTTACATATTCGACTTCACTATACCAGAACAGTAACAGCACGTTTTGACTTGGTCATATATATTACCAAACATAGCGTGTTTTCAAAATTTTACATCAAAATGGACGTAACGAATTTAAAAAGTTTGTATTTCAATTTAATTTGCTAGATAATTGATCAAATATTTTTTTTTACCTTTTCCAGTATTGATGTGTGACTGAGAAAAAATTATATTTGAACAAGTATTCAGTAAATTCGTTTAAAATACGCTTAAAGCTTTATGAATTTTTAACGTTAGCATTATTCAAAAATTGAAGAATTTACTCTATGTTTGATGTTACATATGACCAAATCAAATCGTGCTGCTACTGTTCTGGTTTAGTGGAATCGAATCTTTAATGTATCTTCGATTATTCGATGCCAAAGTGTCATAATGCTGCCTTTATTGGCGGTTTTCAAGAAATCGTCACTCTAAAAGCGTATGTTTGGGAAATAAATAAAAGTATAATGCGTAAGACATTTTTTTATTGTTTTATACAATTTACAACTTATTCTAAGTATAATTAACACACAGTATCGGTGTTGGAAAAAGTAAGATAATGGAATAGGTGAATTCATTTGAAATACCAAACTTTTTGCCTTTATTGGCGGTTTTTGAGAAATCGCTATTTCAAAAACGATCTTTTTTTAAAATTCCAAAAAAATCCACAAGAGGGCGTAAAACCATTTTTTTGTTATTTTAAGATTTGCCACTTATTCCAAGTTTAATGAACGTACAGTTTTGATGTATGATCAAGAGAGAAAAGTATTTGATGAATTATCCAGTAAATTTAGTTGAAATACCAAACCGTTTTTAAATATGTTACATCTACATAGTTATTAAAATTGAGAATTATATGCTATGTTTGGTATCATATATGGCCATGTTAAAACGTGCTGCTACTGTTCTGACATATTAAAATCGAATCTATAGGG